AGCTCTGGAAGCCAAATGCAGCTGGGGCTCCGCATTGGCCCTGCGATGGAGGGATGTTGCTCCCGCTGAGGACACCTCGTCTGCTCACACTGCGCCCATTCAGGGGGAGTGGACAGATGGAGGGCTGTCGTGGGTGACTGTGCTCACTTGAGCGCTGCTTTGGGTGGGAGAGGTGGGAGAAGAAGAGGCCATGTGGCCTCATGGGGCACAAGGTGAGTCCTGTGTTTGGATGTTGGCCTGCAGCCCTTGCTGGTCCCAGTGAATATCCAGGAGCAGGATGTGGATACCAAAATCAAGTGCTCTTCATGTGGGAGGTAACCGTGTACTCTACCTCAGCTAAACCACAGAGTGGGCCCAGGGACATGGAACCTGTCTTCAAGGGAACACAAAAGGGAATAGCGAGGTGTTCGCAAGCCTTTGTCCTTGTCAGGAGTTGCATATTTGGAATTGTGATTTGGCAGGTGGCAGTAGAAGTGAAGGCAGCATCCACAGCACTTGTAGGAAGACAGCCTTCTGTACCCAAAGATTTCCTGTTGCATGACAGCAGCATCCTGCCATCCTCATATCTGATAGTGTGCCTTAGCCCTCTGGTCACCTCTCACATCCCTCCCAGCTGCGGGAGTGGTGAAGAGGAGGACGATATCCCAAAATAAATTGTGCTTACAGGGAAGAACGTATCTCCGGTGAGTTAGCTCCCTTTCCCTACATCATTTCAGGGTGGAGGAGCAGGTCTGCACAAATGCAGCAGTAACCCCTTGCAAAACACCTGCTGGGAGTTCGGAGGTTCACAAGAATCCGCAGAAAATAATTGAAAGCAAGGGGGTCTGCATTACCACACATAAATCCTGCAGGAGCAGTTTCCCCCTGCCAAGGGCTAGCTCAGCAGTGCTGTGCCAGAGACGCACCTTTGAGTTGTCCTATGTTCACTTTATTAAAAGCCTTAGTGCATTTCGGGGATAAGCTGCCCCAGGCTGTGGGAGGGAGTAACTGGGAGCCTGCTTGCTCCTGGCATACAGAGAGGATGGTCACTGCTGCTTTCTGATTTTGCCTTGCAGCAAGGCTGTGTCCGGGTGCTCTAGCTGAGGAAGAGGGCAGGGAGTGCTGTTGTTGCTGGAAGCAGCTGGAAGGTGGAACAGGGGCTCTCATTTCAAATCCAGGGGTGGGTGGAAGCAGCATTTTCTTTCTGTTGGTGGAAGAGACTGCATAAATTGGAGCTAATTTTCAGAAAGCCATTGTATTTCCATCATGAGCCAGGTGAGAGGCCCGCGAGGGTTAGGGAAAGATGCCCATAGTTTTCACCTGAGTCTGATTAGGCCCTTTAAAAAATGGGAAGAAAAAAAAAAAGGATTTGCCGTTAGGAAACAAAACCATGCATCCAAGGAAAATTAGAGGTGATGGTTGAGTCCCTGAAGAAGAGGAAGCTGTGGTGGCAACGCAGCATCATTTCCACGCAATATTTATTTAGAAGAAATAATAATGTGTTTGAATTGTTAAATGTTCTATTTTTAAGATGCCATTTATTTAAGAGTTGAAAAGCCCCACTTCCATGGAGACAGAGATCTCTTCTGTAACTGAAGGTCAAAGTCTGATTGCAATGTCCTTGTGTTTGGTTTTCTCCCTTCCATCTTGGTTCTCATTACAAACCTGTACACCTTAAACTTATTTTGGGGACATGTGTCCCTCTTGTACATAACCTCTGCCCTGTGTGCGACGGAGTGTCCAACATGGTCAATTCGCTCATGTGGGTAATAAACAATACATGAAGTAGCCCATCTGTTGCGAGTCGTTGCCAGAGTCCTCGTGTTCTCAGCTTCTGGGAGAGGAATTGCTGTCTGCCCTCTGTTTTGTTTGGTGGTGGTGAATGTCTTTGCTCCCAGGAAGAGCGATTTCACCTCTCTGCACTGCTGGGATACGTGTTTAATTCAGGTCTTTTCTGCAATACGCTTTGCACCTATCATGTTTGCTGCTAATGGATGTGGTTTTTAATGTAGCATCTGAAGCGTTCAGAATACTGGATCCTGTTTTAAATGCTTGCTGGGTATGCTGCTGTTACAGATATTGTGTATGGAAACAGATTTTTTTTAGGTCAATGCACTTTTTCACTGCACACTTAAAAACCTAACGGCAAAATTTAAACTGGAATACATAAAAGAGACAGCCTGTTAGACAAAACCTGAGATGTGAAGCACCTGGTGCAGTTTTCAGCTGTGGATGAGGTGAGAGGAGCTTGGTGTCACATTTGCAAACATGGTTTGCTGGAAGCAATTGGTGCTTGGAGCAGGATGGAGCTGAGTGGTTTGGTTGTTTGTTGAACCATTGTTTACCAAACCTGATTTTGTAGCCATGTGTATTTTATTTTGAGATTTGTTATCTATTCTGTGTTAGCTGTCTTTCTCTCTTTGGCTTTGCTTACCCTTTTCAGAGGCAACAGTTTTTGGCAAAGCAGATGCATGAAAGTTGATTGTGATCTCACTTGGATCTCTCTGGCAGCTCATGCTTGCTTTATATTAATTGTGCTGTTAATAATCAAAATCAACAGCGTTCCCGGGCCGCTGTCAGCATTTCTGAACGTGTTTCCAAAAATTAGTATTCCCAACCCAAGGGTCTGTATGCACATCTGCAACATGCTGCCGCTCTGGGATGTGTTGTGTTGAGGCACAAGGCCCCTGGAAGTCCTGTGGGGTTTCTTCCCTCTCCCTCAGCGTTACTGAGGTCAGGCTTTTCTTTGGGTCCAGCGTTTTGCATCAGAATGCTTCTTTTCAACCATGCTTCTGTTCAGCCGGGCTTGATAGCTTTGTTCTGTTCCACTCCTACATTTGCTGTGAGAGGCATTCCTGGGAGCTGTGTGGAGCCCAGCACCTTTTGGCACTCTTGGCTGCTCAGAACAGAGCTGCTGAGGATGGAGAGAGGATTTCAAATGTCACCGCTGTGATTCAATTTTTTTTTTTTAACCCTATCTTGCTCAGCATTTTAAAGTGCATGTGAGACACCACAATTCTCAGTGGAGATGTCCTTAAAGTAAGGTTTGAATGTTGCTGAGTGCTGCCTGCCGGGAGCCGGGCCGAGAGAAGGGCACAGGGGATCCGTGACACAGCTTGGGGAAAGGAAAACAAGGTAAAGTTCCCTCTGAAGAAATTGTGTCACAGATCTTTTTGTCTGTCTTCTGTACTGGGGGATGAACTGCTGTGTGTGCGTGTATATGGATATATAATTATATAGTTTATATATAATTAAACGAATTTTGACTCGCTTCTTTTTAAATTCTTCCAGTGAAAAAGATGGTGGTACAATATCTAAGGGCAAAATGGCAAACAAGCTGCTGGGCGGGTGGAATTTCTTGTTTTAGCAATCCAGAGCTGAGTGGCTGCAGCCTTGGCTCTGCTCTGCTCTGCTCCTCTGAGCACTTCCCTGGGGGCACCCATGTGTGGCTGTGGCTGCTGCCTCTGCCTCACTGTGGCCTTTGGGAGGAAGACAGCAGCATGGAACACCCCACCTTGCTGGATTGAACGTTGACTTCCGAGATCCAACGTCCTCATGGCCTGCATCCCTAAGCACAAGCATCGCTTCTGCAAACACTGATGCATGCTTCCAGATCACATCCCTCTTGGTGAGAGATGGGCATGTTTTATTGGGCCACACGCCCTCAGCTTTGAGCTTTGTTCAGCAAGAATTTTAACAAAGGTTAATTAATTAATGTTAGTTAACCTGCTAACAAACAGCTGACAGCAGCAGGCTGGCCCAAAGGGCTTCCGGTCACAGAACTGGGTTGGGGCTGAGGGCTGCTGCACAGCTGTGTAGGCTCAGCTGTGAGCTGTGAGCAGCACAGATTTCCTGCCCACATCACCTCTCTCTTTTTCTTTTTAATTGCCTTTTTTTTCCCCTCTGACAGGCTCTGATGGAGGGCACATTGGCTTGCCCCTCTGAAGCCTGCACAGCGCAGATGTGTCAGGACTGGGAGGAGCACCCGTCGGGTGGGTAGCTATCAGAAATTTGTGGTTCAGACCAGCAGGTGCCTGTCTACGTGGATGCTGTTTGTCCACATCTGACTGCAGTCAGATGGCTGCAGTTATGCAGCTGCCTGCGGACTTGGTTTTGGTGCCGGAACAGCTTTCAAATTGGAAGCCAAGGTACTGCATCCAAAAACACTGTGAGGTGACAGCAGCATCAAGCTTGATGACAGAGCCAGGAAAGAATTACAAATGTTAGTTTAATCTCCTGGCTAGGAATGCTGTGCTTTCTGCCAGCTCCAGTCAAGAAACCATGCAGAGGTTTAGAAAACAAATACAGATGTGGCAGAAGCAGCCAGCAAAACATAGTGGAGCATCTGGAATAAAGTACTTGGGTTTGCAGCACATGGTGCTGCAGCGACACAGAGATTTGTTTTACAAGTTAATTCAGCCTAAATGAAAATACAAGGCTTCATTTCATAAAATCACAAAACCATATCATGGCTTGGGTTGGAAGGAACCTTAAAACTCACCCAGTTCCTGTCACTGAAGGCAGAGATGTTTGCTGCTCTCCTTTCACCTCAACTAGGCAGAAACTTGGGGTTGTGGTCACAGACAACTATCAGTCCCTACTCTATGCGTGCTTGGGCAAGAACAGGATGCTGAGGTCTTTCCAGCCAGATGTGACCTTGCAGTCAAGGTTTGTGACTGTGTCGCCTTTGCACAGGGCAGTGTCGAGTTCCTGTTTTAGTCCTTGATCTAAGTATTGCTTTTTTTTTCCAGTTTTCCTGCTGCTGATTGAAAGCTTCAATTGCAGTACCTGTTTTGAGATTTTTTTGGCTGAATAACTCTAAGGACCTATGACCTCAACTGTTACCCCACATTTGTTACTGGATCCTGAAGCTGGGTTTGACAGCTAGACTTGCACTTAAAGCTCTCAACAGAACACTGCAAATTCTTTTGTGTGTGTCCCTTTCCTGTGACAAAAGGGATTCAGAGACCACTGAAGCCTTCAGCTGTTACTTCGGGATTGATTTCTCCACAGACAGAGCCTTTTAGAGAGTCATTACTACAGATTTTATTGAGGATAAAAGAATGTCAGTATTCCAGTCACTATGCTCAGGCTTTGAGAGTCTTTTCAGCTTTCTAACAAGTGGGTGGGGCTGAGGGAGCACTCGAGAGGCAGATCCAAGATAAGTGCTGCCATCTCCTCCACAGCCAGCAGTCCCACAGCAGGTGGGCAGTTAACATCTGTATCCAGTTAGCTCAGGGAGAACCTGAAAAGCTCTGTTTCAAAGCTCTTATATGATTAGGAAATGTTTTAAGATTGCATTCCTGATAATAAGTCAGTTACGTTAATAAATGGCACTCCAGTCCTTCAGGAAACACACAGTGGGGCTGTCAGGTGAGGCTCAGCAATGCTGCCCACTGCTCACTCCTCACCTGTCCATGCCTGGTTTGCAGTTCAGTGAATCCCTGCAACAGCTGCCTCAAATGGCTCTTTAACTACAGCTCTCGGCATGTTTTCTCCTGTAAGTCACACTGCTGTCCTATGTTTTCACAGGCTCTTCTATACTGCTATTGTCAGAAAGCCATCAGAAGCTTAAAAGTCACAGAAGGTAACATTTTCACAAGGAAACCATACTGTGTTTCTTAACCTACCACACAAACCACCATATTTAAAAGCTCTGCAGTGCTTCTGTACGATTGTTCCCCTGGAATTTGAAGGAGGCAGCTGAGTTCACATGCAGTCAACTACATTGCTGGATCCTTGGCCCACATCACGGATCTGGCTGCTGAGGCAGGCACACACGGCAACGCCTGCCCCAGCTCTGCAGTGTGACACAGAGCCAACAAGTTCCCACCTGGAGAACAGTGCAAAGGAGAAGACAAGTAAGTTTGTGTCCTTTCTGAGCAACCTAAAGTATTTATTTCCAGGGTCTGAAATTCTATTATAGAAGCTAGTTATTAAGTGCATAAAAATATACTTTGTTCATTTATTCTCATTATTTCTCCAGTAAGTTTAGTGCAGAATCAGATTGGAACTACCACAGGAACATAGATTCTCACTGAATGAAGATAACAGGATGAGGGACGGCCAGGAGGAGGAAGAGGGAGGAGGATGTGCTTAATTATTTCAAGAAGAACCGAGTGACGTGAGCAGCACTCCCACATTGCTTATGTGAGTATTACTTAATTACTGTACACTGCTTCTGTTATGCTGTGTTCCATACAGGCGGATATGATTGTTTTTTTTAGGTCAAATAAAAAAAGAGAATTACCTGTTAACTATGGGATCAAATGCTTCCACAGTATTCAGGTACGCGTTGCCATTGTGACCTCCAACTGCAAAAATTCTGCCCATCAGTGTCGCGATGCCAACTCCCCCCCTTGGGGTTGTAAGCTCTGCGACGTACTCCCATTTGTCGCTGCGTGGGTCAAAGCGTTCCACAGAGCTAAGTGGAGAGTTGTCATCGAAGCCACCTGCAAAGAGTCACCATTTACTTACATCTGGCCACTTCAGTGGTGGTGATAGCCCAGATGTGCATTCCAGGGCTTTTCTTAGCATGCAGTGGGTTAGTGTCCCGGGTCTACGTTCTTAACCAAATCTTAAAGCCACCTGAAAATTAATCCAACAGCTCTCTCCTCTGTCAACATGCTCTTGCAGTACTTTCAAAACAAGCCACTGCTGCAAACCAAAGTAGGAAACAAATCCTTTGAATAAGAATGACTTCAGTAATGTGTTCCTATTGGTGTGGGCAAGCTAAACTTCTTATTTCCTGGCTACCACTCTTGTGTTCAAGCATGCCCTCGCTGTGCTTTCTTCTCCTGCATAGGAGCACATCATACAGGACAGCTCTGTCCAACACAGTGCCCCTGGCCTACTCACCGACAACATACAGGCAACCATGGAGCTCACTGACACCGTTGCCGGCTCTTCGCTGGCCCATCTCTTTCACTTCCATCCACTTGTCCAAATGGGGATCGTATTTCTCCACACTGGAAAGAGATGCTATGCCATCGTTGCCACCCACAGCGTAGACGTGGTTCTGAAAATGTTGCATAGGGAAAGTTTGTTTAGAAAACTTACATAATATTTGAAAAGCAGCCCTGGATCCTGGCCCTGACCTGAGAGGAAACAAACTCACCATGAGGGCTACGGAGCCAACTCCCCCCCGGGGCGTGTTCATGGGGGCTATCGCACTCCATCGATCGGATTCGATGTCGTATCTTTCCACATCACTGAAGCACGTGTTGTCATCTAGACCTCCTATTGCGTAAATGGGGCCCCCGAGGGAAGCAAGAGCAATTCCTCTCCTAAGAGAACCCAGAATCAATGCCTCAGTGCACATTCTTAAAGGAGATGGGAAAGACATCAGGTGCAACATTAACTGACTGGTAAGACTTTCAAAGTAACGGGAAAAAAGTAATGAAGTAATGGGTTTGTAAAACTGATCCATAAGTGTGACCAACTCTCTGCACACCAATGGCAGTGTTGCATCATTATCCAAAAAGTCCTTCTAGTGTTTGCAGCATCCCATTAGTGTTTTATCTTCACCTCAGTTTCAGCTGCATGTCCTGGTCATCCACATACAGCGCGCTAGAATATTTTTAGACTGCAAAAAGAGGGAGCTCTGGTTTGAAAAAGAAAGGAGGAAAAAAGGCAGGAGAGCATGGAATATATTGTTTTAACTGCATGTCATCAAAGGTCCAAGCCTTCTTTTCAAGCATTTGAGGTTTTCTCAGTTATTGGATTGCTATTCCTCGGTGCTGAATCTTTCATCTCTGATCTTATTTGATGTATCTGCTGGTTTTAGCTTTGTTGGTATAGCTGCTTCTATGGCTTGGGAATTAATTTTCTAAAACATTCTAAAAGACAAACCTGTGCTTGAACTAGATCACTGAATTCTAATTTTTATTAAGTGTACATTGAAATAAGCGGAGATTTTGGGGGGAGATCTATCAGTACTCAAAGTGCAATCAGTACAGTGAAATGAAATGTATTCTCATTAGAGAAATCATTGAGAAAATCCTCATGTTACTGCACAGAGTGTAAGGTAACGTGCAGTTTTCTCTCCAGAAGGTGTTCTGGAACCACCTTCTTTTGCAGGAGAAGCAGGGTGTGGGCAAGGCTCTGCCCAGCTTCCTGAGTAAGAAATGTCATAGAAATCCAGAACTGAACTTTGCTAGAAGGAAGACATTCCCTGGCTGTGAAGCATTTTACTACACATGTGCTGGTGGAACTATCATTGTTTAAAGGAGATAAAATACCACAAAACCACTTAACCAGTTTCAGAATCTTTATCTGTTATCAGAACATAAGCACAGCTGCAATGGAAAAGCTTCTCTTCATTTCTGAAGCCAGCCATCCAACAAAAAACCCCCAAAAGTGGCTGAGAGTGGCATTATAAAGCAAAAAAGCATAACCCACGTTAGCAGCCAGGGCTTCTCCCTCAAGAGGGGGATTTTGTAGTTCTGCACTGAAATACTCAGTATATTACACACAACTTTGTGTTTGTGCAAATATGTGATATATGCGAGCGTATGACGCAGATTTTTGTTTGCTCTGCAGAAGATAAGCATAGTATTTAAGTCACAACATAGAAAAAAAATCCTAAAAATAGCAAAGTTTGGAAACTTATATAAAGGCAGAACAAACAGGTTTTCAGCAGTAGCAAGAAATGATGTGTCATGGAGTAGGACTTAAATTTTGTACCATGCTGGATCATGACAGACATACCTCTTTGTGTTCATTGATGCTTTAATCATCCATTTGTTTGTGAGAGGATCAAACACTTCCATGCTTCCTAAATGTTCATTTCCATCATGTCCACCCACTGCATAAACTCTACCTGAAAGGCATACACATATTTGGATACGGAGGTTGCTTGGTAACATTTCAGTTTTCATTTACATGTGTGGGGGCAACAAGCCCTAACGCAGGGGTCATGTTTTTAAAGCTTTTCAGTACCAGGATTTTAGTAAGGAAGGACTTTGTATTTTTATATGTTCTAATCAATCAGAGATCTGTTTTATCACAGATTTTACACAAATCTTGAGATACGTCAAGGGGGATCTTTCCATAACTCAAGTAGTGCAGGCCAGGTCAATTTCAGATGTTTACCTCAGGCCCTCCACAATTTTTATAGGGAAAGATTTCCACTCTTCTGCAGCAACACAGGGGCTACCGTGGACAGAGGGGATAGAATCCAGAGCATCATGGATACTAAGCTGCCCTGGCCTGGCTGAAGTTGTGGACCCAAAAATAGAGGTTGGTCTGCCTTCACAGTCTTACTGACTGGTTTGTACGGATTTAAATACGAGGGAAGCTCGTATGAGTACTAGCAAGCTCTGGGTTACTCCATTTCTTTAGGAATTATCTGAAAAAGGTTAAATCACTTAAGGCACCAGGCTATGTGCAGTTGGTAGTAATGGCTTTTCAGTAAGCATGCTCTCAGACATTGTTTCAGAACTGTTTCCTCTTCATGGGGAAGAAGCTTAATGAAAACAAAGAATATTCAACTGATAAGCCATGCAGCTCTTTTGAACAGGGTTGCCTGAGTAGGGTTACTGACCTCCCACAGAGATTACACCCACATGTCTTCTCCTGCTGTTCATTTCAGGGCCGAAGAACCAGCTGTTCTTATTTATAGAGTAACACTCAATGCTGCGAAATGGGTCACCTGATCCTCCTCTGCCACCGACACAGAACAGCACACCTGGAGGAGACAAAGGAGGTTTCCAGAGAGCTGGCAGAGAAAATACGGATAAAATTCTACAGCGGAGTAGACAGTAAACTATATACTTCAAGAGAAGCCATATTTCACTTCAAGGGGTGCAGTAATTGCCCTGTACATGGGATGATGGACTTTGGCATTTGTTTGGCATGCTTTTAGGGCAATTAACTGTCTCCTCTCTTGTAAAAGCAAAGTGTATTTTAAACAGGCTTTTTTTCTGATTTGCTTAGGGAGAAAAAATGATTGCTACATCTTAACATAAAAATTAGAATTTGCAGTCTAACATGCATCACTTGCTTTTGGTGTTGGCTAAGCAGAGTTTAACAGCTAGCTCAACCTTCTGACACCAAAAGGTGTATGTCCACTGGTTTCTGTACAGCTTTCTCCTTACTGCCTGCACATAATGCTCTTAACAGCTCTAACCAATCAGATTAAATGCTGCTCTAAACAAAGAAACTGCCAAAATTCTGTACAGAAAATGCAGCCCATAACCTAATCACCAGAGGGACATAATGACTTTCCCAGTTACGCATTAACATCCACTTCCACCAAGCTGAGTAGTCCTATGCAGATGCACTGCCTTTTCTCCACACCACTCCATACTGGATAATCAGACACACATTTAATTACCAGCAGTCTGCTTCCTTGGTGTTGTGCGAATGGAGTATTCAAAGTCTGGCACTGCCCTGCTGCTCAGGTGAAGGTGGTAGTTTCTTGCTTCATCCAGCAAATCCCTACATTTTAGATTCTGCTTGACAATCTCTTCCTTTGCCACAACACCCATAAGGAAACAAATGGGCAAGAGAGGCAGTCGTACCTGACAGAAATGAACACAGTTGGAGTAACTGGCTAAACTGAACTGACCATTTACAGTGACGTACACGTAACGGACTGCAACTTGCAAGCCAACTGTCAGCCCCACACTGTTCAGTAAGAGCAGCTTTTGTTTTCTTTTCCAGACTAACCTTAATGCAAACGGTTATTTTTGGTGACAATTATTTGCCACAACCATTTCCGACTGTAGGCAAATGCCTTTGCAGTGGAGGAAACAGAAAGGCAACTGCCCATACCAGTGGAGTGTGAGCACTTCCTTCCCGAGCCAGTAAAGTACGGTCTGCATTTCTACTGGGATAGCACATTTCAGATTAGTGTGGTAATGGCAAGCCAGAATGGAAACCCTGTAAAGTGAACTAAGTGTCAGTTAAGGAGGTATTGCTGGTGCAGGAATACCCTTTTCTAGGGGGGGCTTGACAGACCTCATGCTAAAATGAAACAACTAGTTACAGCTAATTGCCAAAGTCTGGAGGGAGCAGAGGGCAGAGTGGGTAGCAGAGAGGACAACAAGGCAGTAAGTACAGTCTTTTCAAACAAGACTATAAAATCTTGGCATCTGCTTCACATTGGAATATAATAACAGGAGAAGGTTCAAGTCTGTTGAAAAGATTAATGTGAAAATAGTGTGATGACACAGCAACATAAAGGAGAGAGACTGTAAGGATGTAACTGTATTGGCAGATGTCGATACTGCAAGGTTGTTACTGCACAGACAGACTTAGTTTTCCTAGTGGCCATTATTACCAAGGTGTTTCTTTCCCCACATTCTTCCTATCCTTCCTCAGAAAAGCTGGTGGTCAGGCTCAATGACAAGACTGCCTGGGTGAGACCACTACCAGCAGCCGCTGCCTGGAGCAATCCCAAGGACAGAGCAGATCTGAAGTGAGATCAGCCTCAAAAAACCACCTTGAAACATCCCTCCCCATAGGAATTCATTTCTGCAAACCTTTCATTTGTCCTTCTGGGAGAAGCAATGAGGAATATGAAGAGTGGGGGTGTCAAAAGGAAGGCCAGCAAGTGGGACAGGTCTGAAAGGTGGCAAACTGAAGTAAAGCAGTGTCTTGCTTTCAATGAGCTCCCAGACAGCACAGCAAGGTGAAGGACAAGCCCAGCATCTCAGGAGCTTCTCAGAGAAGCAGAACAGTGCTGTTACACAAATGTCCTTGCCTCTAAGTTGGTCTCTCTTGCAATTGTTCCTAAAGCACTTGGGTTCAACCCTATTTCTTCATTTACTTCGGCACTGGTTTATTTGAGGCTGACTCAAAGCACTACCACTGCCCTGCTAATAGACTCAGGAGGTTAACAATGCATGAAGAACTCCAGGCTGATGAAAATTCAGAACCTTATGATAACAGGAAAGTCCCTAAGAGTGACCATCATGTGATACCAACTATTAGGAAGCCTAGTCCTGCTTTCTGCTAGCAATAACATTGTATTCAACTCTAGGCTCTACATATCTTGCTAAACAGCCCTTATTTACAGTAAGGGTTTTACTTTTTCAGTGCTTTGCTCCAGACTCTGGATTCTATGAACAAAGCTATTAATCAATCTTTTATGAACAATTAATTAATTAAAAAATAAAACATAACTGTATTATAAAAATGAACTGCATCTTTTTAAAAATCTCCAATTACATGGCCTGTATATTGAAAGGAGGTTTTTTGTACCAAAAACTGAACTGTTTAAACTGAAAATGTTTAAACAGTTGTGATCCTTTACAGGGAAAAATTAAAAATGATGTGTCAAGACAAGAACAGCACCATATTAGCAGACCTCCTGTTACTCCCACGATGCAAATACGATAAATGCAGCATGTTCCCAGTGGAGTTCAGGGACAGCTGTGAGACCCCCAGCTGCTCCCATTTACTATCATGCATGTGGCACTCTGCAGCACACAACATGTTCCTTCTCCTCCTTAGGGCAGGTTCCTATGCTCGATTTTAAGCTTCCATAATCAGTACATGCAGAACAGTCCACGTTTTGACAGGAAGGACTCTGGGTGTTTATCCGAGTGACCCTGTGATGCCGTTACAGGTTTCTCTCAGCAATGAACGCTTAACAAGCCTAGAGGATTAAACTGCACACTCCTTTCGGAGCCTACAAGTAATCAGCAGCACTACTCTAGCTTTAAAGGGTCTGCAAAATCTTGGCCTTTTGTTATTTATGTATACAAACATTCTAGAAGTAGCATCACTTGATGACTTATCTCCATTACAGTTTTGCCTCCCTAGCCATGTAACTATACCGTACTTCAATGGCTTTGTTCTCCTTTCTAAGTACAAACGCTTACCAGCAAGGGAAATTACATACGGGCTGCAATAACATCAAGCCACATGAAGTGATGGCTCTGTGTTCTCCACCTCCCTGCGTGTAAAACTTAGGATATTTTGCTGTGGCACAGATGCAGCTTTCTGTTGACTTCCCCTTCCTCCCTCCACTGATGACCTTACAGTAAGTAATCTTTTTCTTGACAGAAACCGAGTAACATAACTTGGTCCTGATATTCGCAAGACCTAACCTGCTTGCACTGTCAATACATAACTGTGAATACAAGACAAAGCACCAACTGCTAAAAACATTTTTCTTCTTAAAATCTTCCTAAGTAAAAAACAGCTTACACAGAACCAAATCAGTGATGCCTACCCTACCTGTGCGAGAATTTCATCCAGCCACGTGGCATGATGCTGTGGATTGGCTAGCAGCCACTTGATAGCAGCACTGTAAACCTGCTTTTCGTTTTCAATGTTCAGGTCGCTGGAGGACAACAGTTTATGGAGGTGCTGAGGTGAGACGCTCACAAAGTCTTCACATTCCACCACCTCAGTAAAATGTTCACAAGCATACTGATCGGCCATGTCCATCAGGTCAATGCGGTTGTGGCTCTCTGCAAATGACCTGACCGCCAGGCAGTTGGAGGGATGGAAGTGCAGCTTCATGTATTCACAGCACGCCTTTGCTACCAGTTCCACCTGAAGAATGCAAGCAGCATACAGGAGTGGCTGGACATTATCCACGGTCAGCGTCAGCCGGGAGGAATAGACAAATTTCACAAGGTCTTCTATCGCATCGCCATCAAAGTCCCTGATCTCAATCAATGTCTGCTTGGCTTCAGCCATTTCTGAAAGAAACATGGCTCTGAAGTAAGGTATAACACATGCCAGTACCAGTTTGTGGCAGGAGATGAGCTTTGTACCAACCTGAGAAAAAGAAAACAAAACTATTTAACTGAAACATCAGTTTCAGTAATTTTTTTTCGGCTACGAAAGACAGTTAAGCTGAAAAGGTAGACTTCTGGGCCCAATATACATTGAGCTTCTGTATTTTGCTGAAACAAATGAACTCTGTCTCCCCCACACTTTAGACCAGTGCATCCCAAGCAGATTTCATTTGTAACCTGACCACCAGAGTAGGACAAGGCTGTAGCAGAAAGAAGCAGTACTTAACTAAGAAATACTTAATGTCTGTAGATGCTGGCAACCACAGCTGCAAATGGTAGTTATAAATTTCCTGTGATCAGGACATAAGTAATAAAAAGCTGAGCTGAAAAGAATGCATTTAAAACAACACTGTGCAAGAATAACAGAACGTTTCCTCCTTTTTGTTTCCTCTTTGATCAGTTGTAAAACAATGTGATTGAGGGTTTTTTATTTCCCAGGAGAACACTGGAAGTTAGATTTGTTACAGAAATCCTGTTTGCCAGGAAAGATCTAGCACAGAAACACAGAATGCAAAACTATGGATAAAATTTGGGATCAAAGTTTGTGAACAGAGAGGCTGCAAGGAGCTGGAAGCACACAGAAATGTCATAGTAGTAAATAAATCAACCATGGGAACTTCCTTACAGGACAAACTGGGTGAGGTGAGTCGTGTACTTGCTCTCTTGGACTGTCAATATCTTAATTGTTTTTAGTTTAGTTAACATTTCAGTTGTGACCTTCATAAATGACAAGAGATCTAACAGCTTATCTAGAAATGCCTCAGCTCAAACAGGGATTCTGTTGCTTCCATACCCCTGCGCAAACTCACTGCCATCTCCAACGCATTTATAACTTAATCTTCAGATTGTTAAACACAATGAATGTGGGTGGTCTTTGTCACCTTCAGTGTAACATCACAGAGCTCTCCAGCCTCAAAGAAGTGAAGAAGAGAGCTGTGGAAATCCTTCCAAGCCTCGTTTGCTTCGAATACAAAGATATCATCTTCACCATCACCGCTGGAAGATCGAGTTTGCTGCTGCTGTGGCCGCCTTTTTCCCTTCACTGGATGTTGTTTTGCCTGTTCTGGGACCATGGATTCTGAAGCCATTGGTTGTTTCGTCTTTTGCAGTGTGAACTGTCAAATATTCCCACCAAGACAAAGTCCAGCCCATCAGGAGTCAATCCTAAAATGTAGCTAAGTTCTTTTCATCTTCCTATCTAAAAGCACACACACACACACAAAAAAAAAAAGACAGAGGAGATATCAGGTACTGTCAGTATCCACCATCAGATTATATTCTAAAATTACTACCTCTGATCTTATTCAGGGGAGTGGGAAGAGGGAGGAGGGAAAAGAGACCCACAGGCAAATCATATGCAGGTACCTTTGGGAAAAGCCCTTGTTTATGAACTTGTTCCCCACACCTGTTGCAAAAAGATATGAAGAAGAAAAGGCAGTGATGTGTTCTCTGCCATTCCTCACCGAACATCTGTGGATGGCAGATGGCCATGGACTACAGTCAGATGGGTTTCTCTCCTCATCACTGCTGCCAAAGACAGACTTCTGATTTGACCCTGACAGGTATGGTTGTACATATTTATTACTCAGTTTTCCTTGATCTCAACAGCTAGAGCAATCCCAAAGTATTATCTGTATTTATGCATATGTAAGCAGTATATAGAAATGAAACCACTCTAGTATTGTTTCAACAAGAACTAAAGAGTAAAGGAATTTATGTTTAAAAAAAATCTTGGAATGAAAATGATTTCCTTTTACTTAATATTAACCCAAAGATGAATGTTTAAAGCATAAAAATGAGCATCCAGCAGAAGTCTGTCACTGTTTGCTAGCTTTTATTTTAGCTCTGTCTACTTGTCTTAGATGAAGATTATTTTGCTGTTTAAGATTCATGCAGTTCTGACGAAGGGAGTCGTGGTTGTTCTGCTATCACAACTTTCCCAGGATTGAAAACACATCTGGGATACCACAGAAAATGGACAGAAAGTTTACTTTGGCTTCTGTCACACAAATACTCTTTCTAATACTGTGACCTTCAGCCTGGCTAAGTTTGAAGTCCACCTTTTTATTTGTAGATAAAACTCAAGCAGCAGGGAAGAGCACATCGTTTTCCAGCTTGATAGCACATGTGAACTTTCAGCTCTGTGTGTCTAACACCCATGACAATCTGCATCCCGTTAAGTCAGTAAGATTTAGGCTATGCATCCACATGCTTTGTGGAAGATGGGAAAGCCCACAGGGAAAATATGAAATACTACTTGAAAGCATGAAGTTACTGATTCAAGTTATAAGCTACTGGACTCCTGTTATATTCTGGCAAGGGAGACCAACAAATTTGTAAGGTTAAAAGACAAACACAAAGAGAATATTGAGTAGTGTGTTCCTCTTTATATTGGAATAGCTTTTGTTTTGGTGTTTGCTGGTTAACTTACTGTGCGTTCTACTAAGAAATGATCCTTGCTCTAATTCAGTGATTTCCGCTCCTGGGCTCTGGCACTGAAGGAAGTTGACTGACTGAAGAAACAAAACAAAGCTTTTAAAATAAAGATGTAAGTCATGTGGGTGGGCGCAGAACTTCTGTTCTTCTGGAATATTTTTAAGGTATCCGTGTCACTTAATACATTTTACAACTCCTCATGCATCAGAAAGACCAGGAAGTGACTCCAGGTGATCATAGGGTCTCAGTCTCAGCGTTGCTAACAGCTCCACATCCCGTGCAGTCACAGTGCTGTTCGCTGCAGTCAGCCAGGCAGGTTACAGTGAGTTGAAACGAGCTTAGAATATTTACTAATGCGGCAGTAAGCAAGGCATCCTTCCTGTAAAAGATATCCAAGAAAAAGACTGAAGTTGGAATGCTGTACAAGGGTTTTGAAGAACGTCATGTGTTATTCAGAAGTAAGACAGAGCAAACAATGGTACTTTTATAGCTGAGTAGAAGTGCTGCTTTCAAACAGAACTGCCACTGATGACTAAACAATGGTTTGCAGCTCATAAGTCATAAGGTTATTTCATTTGGTATTATGTGCTAAATTTATCTGCATGTTTTAACTGACTGCACATATGGCTTTACCACACACATGTGGCTCTTTGTAAAAGAGGCTGCTGGTGTAAGGTTTACCTATTCTGGACATGCCATTGTAAACACCAACACAAAGCCCACAATTCCTAAGCTAAATTAACATTGCTGGGTTAACTTTTTTTTTTTTTTTTAATATAATAAATTGAACAGTAGTTCAAAAGCCAAACATAACTGATTGTAAACCATGTTATTTGTCTTCATAGGATGCTGATACCAAGTGAAGCTGCTGGAGATGGTCTGAGCAATCATTTGGATGAAAAGAGAGCAGATGTGGACTGATACATTTAATACTGGTTCTGCAGGAGCAGAAACTGGAGGCCTTGATCTCCTCACACCAGAGGAAATCACAGTCACGGGAACCACACGTACCAGGAAACTCTCAGTATAAATCATGGCAGTATCAAGTAAGTGCGTGGGCACATAGAATCATGGAATGGCTTGGGTTGGAAGGGACCTCAAGGGTCATCAAGCTCCAGCTCCCCTGCCAGAGGCAGGGCCATCAACCTTCACATTTAATACTAGAGCACACAACAGTAAGTTACTCCTCACGTAAAAAGAAGTTTCTTCAAGGCACTAAAGTTAACAGGCTTAAAAAAACCTGAATTTATAATTCAGACACTGAGCAGTCTGACACACTGTGGCTTCATTGTGATCAGACTTTGTGACAGATATTAATATCCTGGGTAAGAGTTTTGTTCTTCCCCCACATCACCAATTCAGGAACATCTTGTTTCTGTGACATTTCTTGCTTCCCAAATCACTTAGATACTCTGTCCATAAATCCTCCACTTGTCTTAATTATAGTATCTCACATTTTGAGTCTTCAAACAAACAATCTTCATCTGTGGAAAACAGTAGCTGAGATTACAAGACAGCTGCACCTTTGTAGGAGATGGAGGTCTCTGTAGATATCCAGCTGGCTGTTGATAATTAAGGGCTACCAAGTTGCATCTGACTTGAGAAATATCACTGTCAATGTTCCTATCATTTATTTAAGGAATCAAGCGTGGTTTACAACCGGAGATTTAAAGTATGTCAACAACCAATGCCATAAAGAGCCTGTCATATAAAAATGGTGCACTTATAGAGTTAAGTGCAGAAGTAATACTATGAGATGTAATACACAACATTAAGGTCATGTATTTGCAGTCTATCAGGAACCTGGCACAAGGAGAGATGTTTAATTTGCAGAAACTAATCAGGCTGGGCTGATTTAAATGCCCAGCTCTCAGCCTTTACTGTCATTATACTTTAAACAGAACAGAAATGAGTTTTATTAGTCCTTTAATCAGAACAGTAAACAGAAATCTGAAGGTCTCAGATCAGAAGTCGTGAAAGTCAGTGTACTTCAACTCCAAGCCTACTCTTCCTCCTAGCCTGAACTGGAATGATAAATTGTTTTGTCACTGCACAGACTTAAAGGAATAGCATAAGAAAGTGGTATTTTTCAACTCCTGAGCAATGCAGAAGTACACTAGTTTAAGCATCACTTGCTAGGAGGCTTAATAAGCATTTAGGTTTGTGTGCACAATGTTCTGTCAATTACGCACTCAGAATCCACTGACTGACACAGAAAAACCATTCAGATGTCCCTCAAATAAACAAGAATGCAACAATTGCAGCCAGCTGCTTGAGGTGAGGTTAGCACTGGCTGAACACTGTACCCAAATAAATGCTTTCTTCTCTGAAGCTCTGTCACAGCCAGCCATAACCCTCCTTTCATCTCAGCAGTGAAGAGCTCTGGCTTGCATACAGCCTGACTACACACTTCCACAGCATAAGTGATTGGCTCTAAGGAATCTGAAGGAAGTGCCTCATTTATAACATCATCAGTTGTTACTCTGCAGGCAGCCACTTTGCACTTTTCATAGAAGAGTAAGCTCACTGATGCAAAAAGGCCTTACTCCCTGTTTACAGCTCACCATTGTTTGCTGGTATCAGCTCAGCAATTTTACTTTTTGAATTGTAAACATTTAGAACATTTGTCATGTCTGTGCTGGCAGCGTGCAGCTGGCCAGAGCTGATATTCAAGGATCCCATCCAAGCCCTTCTTTACTACTGCATGCATTCAAACAGGCAGAGATGGTAGCTCAGAGCCCCCTTACATTAGAGCTGCTTTGGTTCAGCTAAGAGGAACATCCCAAACTGAACTGCTTTAGATTCAGTCATTTTGGCCAAATCATCTGAAACTGAAGCGAGCATAAAACAAAGCAGCTGCCTTCAGTGTAAGTAACATGCCTCAAATAACTTTGCAGCTAAAGGGGATAGGAGCATCAGCCACAAGCAGGACAAGAATGTCACTCATGAAATGAAAGAAGGAAACAAAGAAAGGATCCTCCCCTGTGACACTGACCTGGGAGAGGATCGTCCTCCCGCCTCCACTGCTACAAGCAGAAAGATACTTCCATGATACAATGAAACAAAAGGACTCTGTAATAACTGCAGTGAGGAAGTACTCAAATGAGGGGTTCTGTGACACAGGTAGATCCAGTGCTTGTTCATCAGTCCCAGTACTGAAGTCAGAAAAATAAGAAGCAGCCCAATGTCCAGGAGAATTAAAGATACGGGTAAGGCTTTACCCACACTCCCGTATGTAATTTTGGTTACTCACATGCAAGGGAGACAAAATTCATGTTTTTACCTGTGCAGAGACAGACAGGCATCTAACCAGGGAACTGAAAGGGCCCGTTAATTGCAGCAGACTAGAGATTTGCCTTCTGTAAAGGCAAAATACGTAGCTCTAAGAGCAGGGTGTTTTGGAAAACGACTCAACTACAAACAGAATGTGTGCACATAAATATATATCATTTTGCACAGGCAAATGTGTAAAACTAATTAGTTAAAATGAAGCCTGATGAGTTTCTGCAAGTAGTTGTATGGTGCTGCTGCCTCCCATAAGGTTACACGAAAACATGGGAAAGTTCAAGTTACATGTTGCACTGCAAGCCTATGCTTAGTTTAATTCTCACTAAGTACACCTGAAAATTAAAGTAACAACAATAAAATTGTATTGATACCACATGCCTAACTGGTTTAGCTTGTTTGAAACCACTGGGCTTTCTGGTTTAGAAAACTATCAAAAAGCTATCTGAGACAGCACTAGTGGGGGATTTCTAGGTGCTTAAATAGTTTCAAAGGTTCTCTGTAGCAAAAGCTGGCAGGCGTAACAACTGTTTTGCATTACTTGTCACACGGGTATTTCAGAAAACTGAAATGGGTGGGCAAAAAGCTTCCTTAATGTAAAACCAAGAAGCAGCTTTTAGTTGCTTCTATAACCAAAATCACAGCCGTGCTGTGGGCACAGATACTGAATGAGGGCTGCTATTTCTGGGAAAAAAAAAGTGACAGAAAAAGGACAGAAATGATGTTTTGCAAAGCACAGATAAAATCTTATTTTGGAAATAACTCTGCAGAAAGAGCGGGGATGCAGTGCCACAGGCTACCCAAGGAGGTGGGGCAGTCACTGTCCTTGGGGGTGTTCAAGAAGAGAGAAGATGTGGTACTGAGAAACATGGTTAGTGGGCATGGTGGGATGTGTTGGGGGTTGGACATAGTGATCTTCAGAGGACTTTTCCAGCATTTATGATTCTGTGAACCAAACTCATCAGGATCCCCAGCATAGTGAAGAAGGACTCCGTTTTACAGATAAAAATAGTACTTAAGATGCACTTTGTTTATTCAAGGTAACCCTGGGAATACCCAAAAAGTAAGAAAAAAAAAGAAAAAACACTGCAAATCCATGCAGTTCTCAAGAGCAGGGCAAAGTGTTGACATACGCACTTAAAGCAAAAGAAATGCTTGCTGGTACTTCATGCCTGTAAGAAAAGAGAGCAGACTCATACCGAGGATTTCAATTAAAAAACAGCAGTCTGATGGTTTCTACAGCAGCATTTAGTCCAGCCCTTCCTAGGAAGCGTCAAACTGAGAGCAAAATAATTTCGAAGAAGCCCATTATCCTGGAGCTGTAAGCCCAGGAGCGGTACCTGAGCTGTAAGCTCTTTCAGCACCTGCACACAAACAACAGGTGCAATCTCAGCACAGCAGATTTACACAGATAAGAGTTCAGGCATGAATTAGAGAGTAAACACCTCACACTAATCCAATGTTTCATCTCCAGCAGGCTGCTGAACCTTGCACAGCTTCACCTCCGTGACAAGCACAGTACACCTACCAGATAAGATTTAAGCCTGCATGCATTCAGTGTGAGATTTCAGCTTCTGTGGTACTTTTCTGTGTAAAATATGCACTGCTCGTGCTTCCAGCAGCCTTTGTGACAGGCACAGAACGCTCTAATACTCTGCATTCTTTCACCTTTATGACCACATAGTGCAGGAGAATTATATAAAAAAAAAAAAGGGTATACGGAACTAGGAGATGAACCACCTGCGGGTCCCTTAACGAGACCTCCGTAATTGCAATTTCCCACCAAACAGTAAAGAAGCCCGGGGGGATGGCAAGGTGGAACCCATCAACGCGCAGGAGACACCTGGGCAGGGCAGGTTATAATGGGCAGAAGGCACACTTCCCTTTCGCACGAGCAGGAAGGAAGCGCCCGGAGCCCCTCCCTGACAACTGCAGGTAATTTTTTCAACCGTTTAAGAAACACGAGAGTTGCCGCGACCCTCCGCCGCCCCTCTCGCCGCCCGGGGCTCCTTGAGGGCGCGCAGTCCCCTCAGGGCTCGGGGCCAGGCCCAGCCGCGCAGCGCTCCCCGCTGAGGGCCGCGGCCTCCCGGCGCTCTACCTCCCTCTCCCTCGAAACGGGCTGGAGCCGCCCAAGGAACTGTTGATAGGGCAGAGTGAGGGGCGAGAGGGGGTCGGGGCGATGGCGGGGAGGGAAAGAGGGGTGAGTGAGGGCCCGGCGCCGCCGCTCACCTGCGCTCCGCCGAGGGCCGCCGGGAGGAGGGGGCGCGCAGCGCGCATGCGCGGTGGGGAGGCGGGAAGAGGCGCTGCGGGGCGATGGTTTGGGGCTGCGGTGGTTTGGGGCTGCGGAGCCTCACGGCAATTCGGCTCAGCGCGAGTTGCTTCTGGCAAACGTCGAGCCTCGAGAGAGAGTTCCTTGAGGTGATGCGCCCGCCGCAATAGGAGATGTGAAAGGATGACTACGCTTAATACATTTGCATGAGTGGCTCTAGGTGACTGAAAAAGGGGTTTCTGAGAGAATAAACGCTTCGAATCCTTTCATTTCTTCATGCTGTGTGCTCAAAGTCACGCCACGCAGCCCTTCTCCGCACGGACGTCCCGTTGGGTTTGTGGTTGGGACTGGGGCTCCTGGCATGGCTGTGCTAAGCTAGCTAATGCTAAGCAAAATACACTTGGTTGGATGTTAAGCATACTTAACTGAACAATGCTTGCCTTCACAAACCTAGCTAATGCTAAGCAAAACACAGGGGATCAAATGATAAACAAAGCATCCTTTATTTACCTAAGAAACCCAGAAAATCATTGTTGTCTAAGTAACTGCACAGAAATAGCCAGATGAGAGTAAATACGGACTGCTGCATTATCAATATGGCAAATAACATCTAGAGCGTCATGTACATGATGTGCTTTTCAGCATACCATCCCTTGCAGTGCAGGTGCTGATGATGGAAGTCTCCAGACACCACTGCTGAACTCTGCTCCAGACCAGCAGCGTTTCATCAATACCATTTCATCATCGTGTGGTCATCGAAAGAGTATGTAAGTTCTGCACATTGCTTTTCTCCACTGCAGTTTACCTGTGACAAGCTGTGAGCAGGTACCAGTGAGCACGAGTGCTTGGAGCTGTGTAAAAAACTGCAGCTGTGGCTGTGTACACAGGATTTGTTGTGAGAAATGAATGTATTTCCCTGTTGTGCATCTGTTGAACTGCAGTACTTCTCAAAAACTATTTTGATTGTGAGCATTAAAAAAACCTGAGATTGCAGAGGAGAAATAGTTTGTATGAGAGCCTGTTTATTCATGGTAACAGGACCATAGGTTGCTGTAAACTTATTCTTGCTCTAAATAAGGTTTTGCAGTTAGGCTGGGGTATTCTCAGTGCTGAACTCTCATGGTGCTTTAAGTAGAAAAAGCAGCAGATCTGCTTAGAAAAGAGCAAAATGGATGGCTATATGCAGATTGAAAGCCTCTGCAAGATTTAGTGTGCCAGAAGCTTGTTTCAGAAAGGAATTTTATTGACAGTATTTCAGCCTTTGTGAATGGCCAGTGATCTTGGACATTTAAAGGTGGTGATATAGCAGAAAAAAATAACTTCTTGTTTCTGGAGGTTCTATGCATGTACAGTTCAGTTTTCTGCGCTGCTGCCTGAAATTTGATATGATTGCATGCATATTGGTATTGCCAACAAGTATTAAAAGTATTGCCCCAGTCATCAGGTTGAGGCCATAGTGCATCTGGCTGCTCTGGATGCAGTTACTCACTGTGTCTGTAGGGAAAATGTTTGACTCCACTGGAGATGCTCAGAACTACATAATTTCTGTTCTTAATTAGCACATCAGTAGTGCAGCCAGACCCCAATTTCACAGCTCAGCAGTGCTGGCATTCTCCTGGCGCAGACTCAGGTCAGAGCTGTGGCTGAGGCAGGGAGATGCCAGCTCCAGGCAGAGCATGAGACCAGAGCCTCTCATCCAACTCACAAGTGCCCTAAGCCAGTGTGTGAGACACCAGTATTCAACTGTGGGACGTTACTGGAAGTTGCTACATGAGGTTTGATGACATAGGCTTCTGCTAAGTGCCTGTAACAACCAGATTTTGAAATAAGCTTGTCTCTTGTGGCCAGGAAGAGAATGAGGAGCCTATGAGGCCTGACAATTTGATTCTCTGTCACTGATATTCATGGGATGAAGGTTTAAATACTCTCTCATGTTTCTTTACATCAAGCAGAAATGGAAACATGCAGCTTAAATAAAAGCAGGAGCAGCATAAAACAACTTATTTCAAGAGAGGTGCATGACAAGAACTCCTCAGATTTTGGGATTGTCTCCAAGAAAGGGAAAACAGATACAGAAATAATTCATATGTTCCATCGTGACTCAAAACACGCTCCTCAAATGTTTTACAGTATGGAATGTTTGGCTTTTAAATGCAATCCATTTAGAAGTCTTACGTGCTAACTTTTGATTACTTATTTTAACTTATTTTCCATGAGTGGAAATACTGAAAAAACCCGTTTTGCAGCCACAGGATTCATAAACTAGAATCCAATTGTCTCGGTGTAAGAAACAGTACTTTGCCACACCCTGAATGCCATGTTCCATGCGGGCTGTATAAGCAGCAATAGAAACTTTCCTCCCAGTTAGCCTATCAGCAGCACAAACTTAGGCCTGTTACTACCTAAGAGCAGGTGGAGCCATACTCAAATTTCTCCACCTTCTGAAGAATCCAAGTTTGCAGTACAAGTGCTCAGGACATCGATATGTATTACACTGGAAGCCACTTAGTTCTAGCTCTGCTTAACCTGGTGGGTTTTCAGGCTTCCCTCAAATAGCCACTTGCCAGCCAATGTCTGCCACAGTCAGGAGTTGCAGAAATAGGCAAAAAGTTGATCTGTGCTCTACAGAGGTCTTTGACTGGCATTTCATCACATCTTAATAGAGGAGACTGATAATGGAGCAGATAAACAGCAATTTTTATTGGGCTGGACAAGTTACCTTCTAGTGTAAGGACAAAAACAGAACCACACTTCCTCATTCTTATGAAAAAAATCAGATTTTGTGGTAAGCGTGAAACAGAACTGGGCACCCAGTAATTTGTAGGAAATACTACACTTGTTTCAGAGGAAGTTGTTTGAATCTGGTCTGGGAATCATCAGCAAGCAATTTGAGAAATGACATCAGCAGAGGGCATGTATTATTTAACACTGCACCTTAAATGCGCCTGTAGGATGTGGTTGTGACTGTAACTGCTAAGAGACACCTTCTGGTTAGAGAACTGCTTTTATTCTATACAAGTTGTACTGGTGGATCTCATGCATAATGGACAATCAACATATTTAAGGTAGCAGTTGATTAAGAGGCTGTATTATTTCAGATACTCACCACAAAAAATGTATTAAACTATGTGCAGTACTAGGCTTTTTGAACTTAAAATGATTCATTAAGGTGAAGTAGGCCACCCCACAAGATAATTTTACTCAGTGATAAGGCCACATTAATTTATACTCCAACAATTCCACTGCACTCACAAAAGCAGTTGTGCACATTCCAGAACAGTCCTTCTGATGTGTAGAGCTGCATCTCTGCTCTGCTAACACACCATGTTATGCATGTCTGTTCCTGCTGCAGGTGTGGGATGGACCTTAAGGTGTGATGGGAAGCAGTGGCCTGGAAGAAGTACCAGTCTTAATTCTGCTCTGAATCCAAATAGCTGTGCTACACTCAGCATATGTTCTGCTTTCACTCATTTCGAGGGGAAGTAAGAAAATTTCTTTTTCACTGATTGCTTCTATGCCCAATAATTGCATCAAACTTAACATCAGTCAGCTTTTTGATATAATTCAGGGCACGTTCCGGAAGCAACCTGGAAGAAAAAAAAATCCATGAAATTAAACCTAGGATAAGAATTCAGGCTTTGGAGACAGCAGTACTACAGATGGGATGAGAGCTTGTCTGGGCACAGAATGCATGCTCACATCAGACTGAGACCAGAACTTAAATCTGGAGAGTACTTCCAGAAAACTCAGTGCCTTCATAAATGTTTGTCTAGCTTGACCTCCAGTCGCTTCAGCACCTTCCTCCTTTTATGACTGCTTCAAGGACAGATATCCACTGCAAAGGATGTTGATTCAATTACTGCTTGCAGTTTCAGTGTTGAATGTAGACAAGTACATTAAAATGAAATGAGAACTGACTTTGCTTTCAAAACCTCATCTGGTTGATAGAGAATTTTGGGAAAGCAAAAGATTCTTTATGCTTTCATAAAACAGTTTTGGCTGTTTCCTGGCTTTCATGAATAAGTTACTATGAATTAATTGTTGAGATACTGTAGATGCTAACTGAAGTGGTAATGTAGTTGTGGTGATACAAATCTAGCTTTTGAATCTGAGCTGTGGAGAAAATGCAGCCCCATCAGAGCAGCTACACTGGATGTCTGAGAGGATCAACCTCACAACACATGGCTGGGGGAAAGCAGCAGAACACCAGTCAAGCAGCATTCCCAGCACTCGTGACATAGAGCTGGTGCTGCCATGAAGAAATGAATACCAAAAAGCAGCAGATCCTTAATTGTTTCTGGAGATTGTCTGGGGCTGCTGGTCCAGAGAGATGATTTTTTGCAAGCCCATGGGAAATTCAATTTGTGATGGAAAAGCAATCCAGCAATCTCTTTATCTCCTTCTGCATCCCTACCAGCAAATGGAGCATCTGAGTTCTTCACTCAGCACTTGTGCAAAAAATAGATCATAACTACTCAACTCAACAAAACCCTCGTGGTGTGTGCTGTTGTCAGTGGAAAGAAAAACAATATACTGCAACACTGACTTGCCCCAGTTTCTAAAATAGCACAAAATTGAATCTGATGTTACAAGTGCTTTCAAGAAATGTTTAGATGTTCCACTGAGGGACATGGTTTAGTAGGAAATATTGGTGAGAGGTGGATGGCTGGATGGGATGACCATAGAGGTCTTTTCCAACTTTGGTGATTCTATGAAGTGTAATGCTTGTACACTCGACTTATCCCTTATGTTGTTACATACCTTTCAAGAAGTAAAGCGAAACGTTGATTTGATGGAACAAAAACCATTTTCTGGTTGGTCACTATTCCTTCCATCAGTGCCTTCACAACTTCATCAACCTCCAAGATCTTTCCAAGCCTAAAATCAAAAGAAAGCATATATGTGAGATCAACAGTGATAAAACATGGGCAGCAGCTGAATATGAAATAGGATGCTTCACCTTGGCACAAAGTCAGGTAAATGAAAGATAACTGCTATGTGGGGTATGTACTCAGTTTGAATAACAGGTAAAGCAGGGGCAAATATGTAATGCTGACATCTAAACATTACCTCATAGTGGGGTTTTTGACAAATCCAGTATTTATAAAAACTGGACAGAGGCATGTTGTTTTTATTCCATCCTTTCCCAGTGAAGACAGCTCGTCCGTCAGGGCTTTATGAAATCCAACTGCAGCAAACTTGCTTGAACTGGTGGAGGAAAAGCACAAATCAGAAGGCATGAATGTTATTTCTGGCCTGATAGAAAGGGGCTGAGAGAACATGCAGTACTTACTAATGAGGGAGGAAGGCAAGGACTAATTCTAATTTTTGCTGTCTTATAGTGTTTTCCTAAAATAGATATTGCTGCCTGGGGAAAACATTTGGGGATGTGAAGTGGAATATCTAAGTAGTCTTAGTAGTGAACTGTCAGAGGAGTATTAGGAAATACTAATTGGCACGCATAAGTCTGATGTTTTTATTTTTGAAAGCTAAATTCAGTAGACAGTGTAATTTCCAGCATTTCTTAGTACAGGAAGAAAAACATAGCCCGAGTCTGAAAAGCTAAGAAGAAAAAAAGAGGGTAAAAACATACAAGTATTATGGCTACAGCAACTCACAAGACCACTATGTTATTCTAAAGAAGAAGGAAAGCGGATACCTTTTTCACTAATCAAAGTCTGGATCAGTTATGAGGAGAAAAAAAAATATATTCCATTAGTTTATTTGTCATTTCATTAGTCTTTCATTGAAGCACTGTTTCCGATTCAGTCAGAGCTAACAAGTAAATCAGTGGGCATTCCCACAAGCACTTATGTGCTGAGTGCTGTGGGTTTTCTTTCTCCTTTGGAAGAAGCTTACTGAGTGTATTTATTTCCTCTCCATGTTTGCTGGTGGAGAAGACAAAGATAAGAAATGAAGAGAGCTGATTTTGAAGTCACTTACCAATAAGCCACCATGAAAGGAACTACAAAATGACCTGCTGCAGAAGCCACTGTGACAATGTGACCGTAGTTGTTGTTCATCATTGTCGGCAGAAAAGCTCTTGTTGTCTTGAAATGGATTTAGAACAAGGACCAGAAAAAGAGTTGGGAGAGGAGGAAAAGAGTAATGTCTTAAGTGTTTTTCAACACTGTTCCCAGGTATGTGCAATTGAATGACTAATGCTTTTCCTAATGCTAGGTAGGTTCTGAGAACCACAGGAACGCCCATTCTCCCTCCAGCTGATGCACTCTGTAACCTCATTTCTGGAAGGACTCTTTCAGCAAAGTCAGGTATCAACAGAGGATGATATTCATGGTACTCCTAGCCTGCTTTTTAGTTTCACTTGTCAGCAGCAACACTACCAGTATCTCTCCCCAGCACACACACAGTTTGTAGTACCCCTTTTTTCTCCTGCAAACAGAAATTCTTTAATACTAGGAATGCTGCTGAAAGCTGTCCTATCCCCAGGGTCTGGTTGCCAGAGTTCCAAAGAGCTAAAACCCCAGCTCAGAGATGTCCCAGCTGCATCACCTCCACACAGGCTGCTGGTAGAGAGCTGGGAGAAGTCCTGCAGGAGATAAGACAGGTGGCACTTGCAGGCAGTGGCAGGACAGCTACAGGATGGGATTAAAGCAGTGCCAGGAGCCCAGAGCAGAGCCAGCAAAAGAGCAGAGACAGGTACAAAATGCTTCAGGACAAAGCCCTACAGACTAGCTAAGGTGCTGGTGGCAGTCAGGGAGAGGCTGGGTCTGGCTGCACTACATGGCATGGCTAAGAGCTAGCAGCCAGCCTTGCTCTGCACCTAGTACCAAAGGCTGCCTTCTCTCAGGGGCCAGCTGATAAAAAAAACCAAAAAACAAACCAAAGCACTTTGCATTATACGAGCAGTTTTTCTACTGCTTGCAGGCTCTTGGTGCCTGGCTGAGGGCGCTCAAACAGCTGGACCAAGAGAGACACTAAGACACTTGTGACATAGACCAACCTACGCTGCAGGAGAGGCCATCACCAGCCAACTTGTGTGAAAAGGAAAATGCAAGGGAGCCAGGCCAGCCCCAAATCAGCAAGAGACAATCAAGTTTCCCAACAGCCAGACTGAGTGCATGTTTGCTATACACACAAAGCAGCAAGAGAACTTGGTAATTTGCCTGTAGTTTTAAATAACTATTGGTCTAAATACATATCCTTAATGCTTATGGAGGCGTGAATGTGCTGGAGACCCTTACCCAGATGTGAGCAAGAATGTTTACTTCAAATGTTTTCTCAACTTGGTGGTCCTGGGTGGAGAGCAGGTCAGCAGTTGCAATCACACCAGCGTTATTCACCAGGATGGAGACATCACCAATGTCCTTTTTCACCTTTTGGACCAAAAGATGTGTAGGTGAACATCGCTTGTTAACACACAAAGTGCAAGGTTGTGAGTAGCAAATGATTTAATTCTTACAGTGATTATCTTGCAGGCAGGAACATGTGGTGTCCTTGTTGCAGCCAAAACCACAACAGTCCTAAAAGCTGATTTAGATCTGATGTTTTTCCCTTTTTTACTGCCAGTTATTACAGTGTCCTAGGCATTACCCATGGACAAACACGCTCTACAATTACAGCTGGCACTTTGGACATACAGAATGATTTGAACCATTCCCTACAGTGCTGCCTGTCAACCATGCCAGCAGCCTTATACATTTCTATGTCAGTTCCTCAGCAATCCAGTAGCAGGAAGTTTGGTTGCAGGGTCTAAAGTCTGAAGCGTGAGCTCAACAGGACAAAGGCTCCCAGATTAGGATGGGACAGGCTGCAGTACCTGAAGGTATGTATGTACAGCAGCAAACAGTGGTGAGATTGCAGAGGCTTGCACAAACTGAGTGGGACACCTCGGGTGCTGTTTTCCAGCGTTTCCCAAATCGAAGCACGTTTGGGTAAGCCCTGGCACATGCACCTGCTCCCCTACCTTCTCGGCAGCGCTGTAGATCTCCTCCCTTTTGCTGCAGTCCACCACAAAGCTGTGAACGGTGGCTCCCAGCTCTTCGCATTCTGCTGCCGTCTCCTTGAGGCCATGCTGTGGGAAGAAGGATGCGTGTATGACACGGGTGCCACGGCCTCGGAACAGCCCGTTTATCCGCACCGCGGCCCGGCCTCACCGCCTCGACGTCCCACAGCACCAGGCGGCTCTGGCGCCGGGCGAACTCGCGGGCCGTGGCCCTGCCCAGACCGCGGGCAGCGCCCGTCACCAGCACCAGCTCCCCGCGGACGGTCTTCCTCTTGGCAGGCAGCAGCAGCTTCACCAGCGCCTCCGCGTAGGCGTACAGCAGCGTGCCCAGGAACGCCAGCACCTCCAGCACGGGGTTCATCTTGCGACCGCTCCGCACGACCGGGACAAGTCAATGCACGCGGCCCCGCCGGGCGACGGGGGAGAGGAAAGCAGCCAATCGGCAGCGCGCTGTGAGCAAGGGGCGGGGCCAAAGGAGGGGCGCAGCCAACGGGATGGTGGCGCCGCTGATTGGCCGGGCTCCGCCCAATGAGAGGGCGATGAGCTCTCGGAGGTGGTCGCATGTTTTGTTTAGCAAACGAAGCAACTTAAGCTCGTAGTTGGTGGTTGTTGCTGCAGGAGGGGGTTGTGTGCTAACTCAGCAGTCAAAAGCATGGGATGGAGGTTTGGCAGAGCCCAGAGTCTGAGGGCACAGCTGCAGTAGCGCCCTTCCTGTTCTGCTGACAGTGGAGTCACTGAAGTGACATGGGAATATTTGTTGTTAAGAAATGATGAAGAAATTGTGATTGCTTGCTATTTATCATTTATTCAGGCTTAGAAAGTAAGCAGACAAGGGTGGGGAGAGCTATTCGCTGTGACCCGTGCTGGCTTCAGTCACAGGTACCTCTTTGCTGATCTGTGGTTTCAGTGTGCTGGTGACAAAAGGCATGAGGGAGCTGAAGGAAGCAGAAGATGATCGGGAAGCAGCAGTATTTCATAGGACACAGCCCTGGTTGGTCAGATAGGTATCTGCAGAGTGAGAACAGAATTGCAGAGAAGAACCAATGGCTTTAGTGGCTTTAGTCTGTTAATTGATGCATGGTGTGAAGCACATCCCCAACAGCGTCATCGGCTTTGGAAAACAGAGCCCTATGAGCAGGTGACCAGGCAGGTGCTGGTTGCTGAGGATAAAGCTGGCTGTGCTGTGACTAGTCAAAATACCATGGGTATTCATTCCACATGAGGTGCTTATGTTAACATAGAGTGCTAAAGGTGAAAACAGAAAAATAAAAATTCTGCAAGTACCATGCTGAACAAGGCATAAAAGCTGCACTGCTTCCAAGAGCCGTATGTTATTTCTGGAAGGAAAAAATTCTCTAAAGATTGTTTATTGCATAATTAGAATAATGCAAGTGAGAAGTAGGCAAATGTAGTGGTAGAGCTTGCTGCAGGATTGTGTCTTCTGCTACAAGACAGGTGGCTTACCTCAGACTCGCAGCAAAACAGGTGGCTGAGCATGCTTGGAGTGTTTCAGGAGCTGGCGAAGAATGGGAGTCAAAGGAAAGAAAATGTTCTTTCCTTGTGCGTACTGTGAAAGGAGAGGAATTGTGCATCAGTGTTTCCCAATTCAGTACCAACCCCTCCAGGTAAATCTGAATGTTAGAGCTGATGAGATTCAGTAACTGAGAAACAGAAGGCTTACCTGTTCTGAGCTCTCTGAACCGGAGCTTTCTTTGCTGTCAAGCTGCTGCTGCTGTAGAAAAAGTATGATTTTTTTTTTTATTTTTTTTTTTGAGCAAAGCATAATTCATTGTACTTGTGGGGGTTTTTTTGTTAGTTTTATTATCAACAAAAATAAACTTCATTTTTGTTTTTAAAAATATATATATTTTTAATCAATATGTCTTGTTAGAATGCTCCATCTGAGAAGGGAAGTTGATCTTCAGTGTCTGAAAAATTGTCAAGTTAATTCTGTGCTGCTGGAATGAGGACTTGGTTGATGGGCTGGGATGTGAGCTTGCTATTTGTTGTTTTTGCTTTAAGTCTGAGAAGGGCTTAATCTTAACCTGGAAATCGAGATTGGGAATACCATAAATGCATTTAGCCGTGTAACAACTGTTGGTGTTTTTGAGGCTGTCCTGACAGATAAAAGCCATGTAATTTCCAGCTATCAGTGTTAAAATTTCCCACGCTGCATGCCTGTGTATTTTTGTTCAGTACTTACTGCATTGGTGACAGCAAGGACCATGCTCAGAATGCAGGACAGCAGCAGGAACTTCATTGTGAGAGAGACTCCTGTGAAGCAGACAGCAAGCAGAGTTACAGCTTTTGGCTGAAAAGGAGATGTAGAGGAGTAATGAGGCTGTCCTCTGAGAGGAGTGACAGGGGAATGGGGCAGCAGGAGCTGTGCTGTGAGTTGTGTGCACCACGTTGGGTGTCCTCGAGTGCCAGCCCTGTGTTTGAGCTGCTGATGTGTGCAGCCAGGGTAAGTAAAGGGTGTTTTCTGAGTGGTCCTTTCCAGGAGCTGTTTCCTTGCAACCTCACAGAAAGGCTGAGGGACCTCTGGAGCTGATGGAGTTCACCCCCCTCCCACATCCAGGCCCCTTCAGCAGGGTCAGCTGGAGCAGGTTTGTCCAGGACCGTGTCCAGGTGGGATCGGAGCCTCTCCTGTGGAGGCTCCACAGCCTGTATGGACAACCTGCTCTAGCACCTGCCTGCAGCATAGCTCAGGTAAGAGCCAAGGATCTGTGTTACCTTTGGGCTGCATGGTGAGCGGCTGGTCGGTGGATCAGAAGGAGGCAGATGGCTCTGGTAATAGTGATGCATGGATGGCTGGTGCCTGTATATATATGGTTTTGGGTAGTGTGGCTTGCATCAGAAAACCACAAGATGTCATGAGTCACATCTTGTTTGGACCTGCTGATTGTTTAGTTTAATTACTTCCCACCTGGTAAAGCAGCCAAATTTTTTAGTTGACCTTTATGATTTTTATATAATCCTTGGGGGATTGACAGGTTTGGCAATGGAAATGTGTATTGTGTTTGCACTGTGAAAGGAATGTCTGTTGTCTTTTTCACTATGGAAGTTCTCCTAACTATGTAGGAAGTACTTGTGTGATAACAATGTCCAGAGTATTGAAGCTGCTAACTTAAAGGAAGGGTTACAGTTTCCAAAATGGAAAAATCAGCTAATTGTGGAAACCCTTTCCAGGGTCCATGTGTATAATAACATCAGTAGAATTCACCATCAATGTCTTCACCAAGGAGAAGTCATGCCTGACAGACTTGACAAGGTCCTGCAATGAAACAGCCTGATGGATGAGCGGAGGGCAGTGGATACTGTCTTCTTTGGCATCAGTAAGGCCTTTGCCACTGTCTCCTGCAATGTCAAAAGAAATTTGACTTCTTTGAAAGAAAGTCCTCATCCTCAGTGAAAAGAACTGACAGTGACTGTAGAAAAGAAAGAAAATGACCCCCCAAAATGGGCAGAAGTGGGAATAACTGCAGATTAATTTGAGTAACGTGTGGAAATCCTAATCTGCTTTGGTGATGTAGTTGTTTGCCTCAGGGAACTTGGACGGTTTTAAGGAAAGTCTTCCCTGTTTGTCCTGATGAGGTCTGTTTCACTGCATCTTTTTCTACCACTTGGCTGGAGCAGGGCCCCAGTTGGTTTTAAGCTCTGTGGAGAATAAGACAATCCCTTGTGTGCTGACCTTTCCTAAACAGGCTGATGAACTAGCTTTGATTGCTGTAAACAGGCTGATCCATAGCTGTGGTCAGGCAGAACAAAATGCTGTCAAAACTTCTTCCTCCCTAAGAGATTTAAAGTCCCAGAGAAAGGCTCTTTATCAAATGGAATTTGCACAGAGCAAACTAATGTACAACTAATCCAAATTAATGTGTATGCCCTGCTGTGTGATGTTACAGAAGGTGCTGTGTGATGTTACAGAAGGTGCTGTGTGATGTTACAGAAGGTGCAGTGGGTGACATGTCAGTTTTATAGGAGGAACTGTCAGCAAAATATGTTTCGGTGGTCACCCATCCTTTGCTTATGAAAGATATTCCTGGCCGAACTTCCTGGTGGCTTTATTCATTGCCTCATGGAGAATCAGGCCAGAGATGCACTGGGATAAGCAGCCCTTGCTCATACAAGGGCAAAGGAGCAGGAGGCAGGTGGAGTTCTGTGTTCTGAGCTACCCTAATGGCATTTCTGAATGCCATTCCTTTTGACATGGTTCAGGTGAAGGCTGTTTTCTGGTCTCACTCTGTAGGAAGTGTTTGGGGTCTCCTGCTTCCAGCAGAGAACATCTGGAGTGGTTGTTTTTTGGTGAAGTACTTGGCTTGACACAAAGCTACACGTCTTCTAGAGTAACTGACCTCCTTTTTTAAATTGCCATGTGTTCTGCCAGTATGCATTTGTAATGTAACTGCTCTTGGATCAGCCTGTTGTATTTTGCATATCTAATTGAGTCTACGTTGCCCAGTTCATGCTTTGACTGACTTCTGTGTAATTCAGCACCCAGAGCCCTAACCAGAATAGAAACGTTAATAAGAAATGAAAGAATTTGAAAGATCACTTGCGTTTGTTTCTCCAGCTCTAATTATATAACTGCATTCTCCTATTTGAAAGGGATTACTTGCTTTTCTCTTTTTATTTAGAAATTCAGATGTATTCAAATTATGTTCATAATTGGATATAGAAGGATTTTTATTTTCCTACTCTGAGAAGAGTGAAGGCTCCATTAATGTCCAGAATTGGCTTGTATAAGATCAGTTGTTAATAGAGATTTTGTCCCAGTGCTTTGACTGCACAGTTGCTCATCCTATATGTGGGGAAGATGTTTGATTCCACTAGAGATGCACAGAACTACAGACTTGTTACTCTTCTCCTGGAACTTGTTTCTGTTCTTAATTAGCACATCAGCAGTGCAGCCAGACCCTAATTTCACAGCTCAGCAGTGCTGGCATTCTCCTGGCACGGGACTCAGGTCAGAGCTGTGGCTGAGGCAGAGAAGTGCCAGCTCCAGGGCTCAGGGGGAGGCAGAGCATGAGTCCAGAGCCTCTCATACAACTCACAGGTGCCCTAAGCCAGTGAGAGACACCAGTATTCAACTGTGGGACGTTACTGGAAGTTGCTACATGAGGTTTGATAACATAGGCTTCTGCTAAGTACCTGTAACAACCAGATTTTGGAATAAACTTGTCTCTTGTGGCCAGGAAGAGAACTGAGGAGCCTAAAAAAACACTGGTATGCAGAACAAGGACTACCTTAGAAGCCTCCTACTTCTTGGTGTATTTAACGTGGGCAGTGTATTCAGGCCTCCTGCAAATGGCCACTAGCCAGCCAATGCCTGTCACAGTCAGTTCTGTGAGTAGGCAGAAACACAATCTGTGTTCTGAAGAGGTCTCTGACCGGCGTTTCGTTGCATGATGTTCTCTTGTACCTCAGGGCAAAGGCAGTTAGTTCATGCAGAGCTTTAGAGGCTTAACCTCCTGGCCATTGCAGGTCCTGGCTGCCTCATGGCTGGCTCGTGAGGAAGAGCTGGCCCATCTGGGGCTGTTCCCCTTATATTCCTGCCCATTGGTCTGGCACACACACCTGTGCCTGGGCCCAGGTCCTGGCAGAGTATTCCTGCACTGCTGCTGCTCCCCTGCACTTGCACAGGGAAAAGCAGGATGGAAAGGGGAAGCCCAGGATTATCCAGGGCTGTGCTACAGCATCTTGTGCAATGAATGGGTTTAGCGTTTCAGAGGATTGGAATAGATAAAGTCTCAGGAAGGAGAACAGGTATGGGGAAATGTGTATGTTCACTGAAGTCAGTGCTGTTTCAACCTTATGCTGCAAGGAATGCATTGCTCAGTTGAAATGAAGACATAGCCAGGAATATCTGGCTTACCAGCTGAGGCCTTCACTTGTATTCTACACAGTCATAGAAGCACTTCCACTTCAGCTCACCCCAGTACATGAATGAAGGCACAGCATATCCTTGCTTTTACTTCTAACAGAGGAGCCTGACTTTTGAATGCTAGAACAGATAGCATAATTTACACTAGGTTGAATTATTTGCCTTCTGTTGTAAGGAGAAAAATATTGCTACTTTTTCTGCATTCTTATGAAATAAATCACGTTCTGTGGTGCGCATGAAACAGAACAGGGCATCCAGAAATTTGTAAGGAAATCATAGAATGGCCTGGGCTGAAAAGGTCCACAATGATCATCTAGTTCCAACCCCCCTACTAATTGCAGGGTCGCCTTGGTTTAAAGGAAGGTGTTTGAAAAGTGTCTGGGAGGCAGAAAGTATGTTATTTGACACCTTCTGGGTAGAGAACTGTGTTTATTCTGTACAAGTTGTTCTGATGGTGCTCATGCATAATGGACAATCAACATATTTAGGTACTCATTACAAAAGCACAAAACACAGATTGTGCAGTACAAGGCTTTTTGAACTTAAAATAATTCCTTAGAATGAAGCGGGACACCTTAAAGCACTCCTCCCCACACAAGACAGTGTTGCTCAGTGATAAGAGATTAATTTATACTCAGGCAATCCCACTGTATTCATGTATGTAGCTGCTCTTATCCTAAAATAGGCCTTGCTGGGTTTCCTGTCAGGACTAGGAGTCAGTGATCGTAGAATGCACAGCCAGAACAGTCCTTCTGACTTGTAGAGCTGCATCTCTGCTCTGCTAACACACCACGTTATGCATGTCTGTTCCTGCTGCAGGTGTGGGATGGACCTTAAGGTGTGATGGGAAGCGGTGGCCTGGAAGAAGTACCCGTCTTAATTCTGCTCTGAATCCAAATCGCTGTGCTATGCTCAGCATGTGTTCTGCTTTCACTCATTTCATGGGGAAATAAGAAACAATTTCTTTTTCACTGATTGCTTCTATGCCCAACAATTGCATCAAACTTAACATCAGTCAGCTTTTTGAGAACATTCGAGGCACGTTCTGGAATCAACCTGGAGGATGAAAAAAAAAAAAAGCCCATGAAATTAAACCTAGGGTAAGAATTCAGGTTTTGGAGAAAGTGGCACCACAGGTGAGACTGGAGCTCATCTGGGCACAGAATGCATGTTCACATCAGACTGAGACCAGAACTTAAATCTGGGGAATACTTCCTAAAAACCCACTGCCTTCATAACTGTTTGACTAGTTTGACAGTCCCTTCAACACCTTCCTCCTTTTATGATCACTTCAAGGACAGATATCCACTGCAAAAGATGTTGGCTGCAACACTGCTTTCAGGACCCTGGAAGGTTTAACACTGAGTAGAGAGCTGTGCTTATAAAGTGGCTTTTCTGCTTTCAAAAGCAGTAGTCTGAGGAAAGGATGGGATGGTAAAAGAGAGACCTTGAAGTGCATTTTCCTCTTCTGTGATTTTTTCTTTTCTTAGCATTAGCCATGTCTCTTTGTGTCTGCCTGCTCCTAGCTTAACACGGAGTTATCTTAAGGGTTATGACAGTAGTAAGCACCACTTCTTTGTGGCTTTGCACACTTCTGCTGTCCAAATATCACTTGGAATGCAAGAGTTGTTTCTTAACTGTCTGATGTTGAGTGTCATTAACAAGCTATTATGAAGTGTTTCTTGGGATGCTGTATCAGTTAACAGAAGTGTCAGTGTAGTTGTTCTTATGTAAATGTCAAGTTTCCAGTCAGAGCTCCAGTGAAAACAGAGCCCTACTAAGGTACAATGAATATTTAAGAAGTCTGAGGACAAATTTCACTTCACTTGGCAGAGAGAAGCAGCATTCTCAGCCTCCATGACCTAGACCTTCTGGTGTTGACATCAGGAAATGCACACTAAAAAGCAGCCGCTGTTCAACTGTTTCTGGAGCTTGCTTGAGGCTGCTGGTCCAGAGAAACTGTTCTTTGCAAGCCCTGTGGCAATTCCCATTTGTGAAGGGAAAGTGATCCCTTGATCTCTCTCTGCCTGAAGTAAGATATGGAATGACGTAAATAACTCAATGCAGTGGTGAAAAATATTGAAGATAGTAGAAAATAAATGAAACTGGGTTGAACCTAAACTTCTCGTATCTATCTGTCGTGCAAGAGTATTTCTATGCTGCCAAATGTTGTAATTGACTACTAACAGTGCTAATTACACTTCCTCCTACAATGAGGCTTAAACTTGAAGCAGATATTACAAGTGTGATGCTTGTACACTCTTGTAGTTACGGTGCATCTTTTTTCTCCCTTCTTTGGTAGTTTGTTTGTGTGTGTGTGCACACCACTTACATTTCAAAAAGTAAAGCAAAGCTCAGCTGTGGTGGAACAAAAACCATTTTCTGGTTGCTTAGTATTCCTTCCATCAGTGCCTTCACAACTTCATCAACCTCCAAGATCTTTCCAAGCCTAAAATCAAAAGAAAGCATATATGTGAGATCAACAGTGATAAAACATGGGCAGCAGCTGAATATGAAATAGGATGCTTCACATGGGCACAAAGTCAGGTAAATAAAGGACAACTGCTATGTGGGACATACACTCGGTCTGAATAACATAGGTAAAGCAAGGGCAAATATGTAATGCTGACTTGTGATCATTACCTAGTACTGGGGTTTTTGACAAATCCAGTATTCATAAAAACTGGACAGAGGCATGTTGTTTTTATTCCATCCTTTCCCAGTGAAGACAGCTCCTCCGTTAGAGCTTTATGAAATCCAACTGCAGCAAACTTGCTTGAACTGGTAGAGGAAAAAAGCACAAATCAGAAGGCATGAATGTTATTTCTGGCCTGACAGAAATGGAAAGGGGGTGTAAGATCATGCAGTACTGACTAGTGAGGGAAACAATGGGAAGGCAGGGATTAATTTTAACTTTTGCTGTGCCATAGTGCAGTGCTGAAATACACATTGCAGCTTGGGGAAGACGCTACGGGATGCAAAGTGGGCGTCTTTCAGAGAGTTACCTTTATAATGAAGAGTCTCATAATGTTAGTGCATAAATCCAAAGCGTTTACTTGTTAGAGTGGTGTTAGAAAATTCTTGGCAAGCAGAAACAGATGAACACATTTGATGCTAAGGATCTGAACAGTGAAATCTGATTAAAACTCCTGTCTCAGGAGTTCTCCTGCTACGAAAAGTGACTCGCTGTGCAGGAACGTACCCAGGGAAAATGGTTCTGTTTGGAACCACCATAGTAGAGGGCTAACAATGTGCAGTCTGATAATATGCCATGTTACAGTTTTTCTGTAACTTTGTGCATGAGTTATAAATGCTTCTATTTTAAACGGGCAGTGCATTGACCTCTCAGTAGTGACGCGATGCTTGCAACACTAAGTATTAGCATGTTTCTTCTGACATGTGAAAGGTTTACTGTCAAAGCCTGCATTTCACCACATGGTGGCAGAAGTATTTCTATGCACTGCAGCCAATGTAACAAATGCTAGAAACAGGAAAAGCTACTCATTATATGTTCACTTGATAACACTAGAGTGACTCACGAGAGCACTACAGTCTAAAAAGAAGGGAATAAAATACCTTTCTTAGTAAGCAAAAGTCCAGATCAGTTATGGAGAGAAGAAAGATTGAAGATTGCGTTAGTTGATTTGTAACACTTTTGTCCTTCATTGGATCACCTGAATCAGTCAGAGCTAATAAGCAAATCAGTGGGTACCTCTATTAGTCCTTATGTGGTGCATGTTGTGGGTTTTTTCTCCTTAGCACTGTCCTTTGGAAGTAGCTTATTCAGTGGGAAGTTTGTTTCTGTTACTCCATGTTTGCTGGTGGAGAAGACACAATTAAAATTAAATGAAGAGAACTGATTTTGAAGTCACTTACCAGTAAGCCACCATGAAAGAAGTTACAAATTGACCTGCTGCAGAAGCCACTGTGACAATGTGACCGTGGTTGTTCTTCATCATCGTTGGCAGAAAAGCTCTTGTTGTCTTGAAAAGGAGTTTTAAAAAGGGGCAGAAATAGGGTGGGGAGGAGGAGGAGGAAAAGAGCAATGCCTTCTTAGATGTCTTCAACACTGATCCCAATTACTTGCAATTAAGTGAAGCTATTCCTAATGCAAGGTGCCACTTACAACCCAAGGCCCTGAGAAGCAGATGCCCATTCTCTGTTCAGCTGGTGCAATCTGATTTCCAAAGGGAACCTTTCAGCAAAGTCAAGTATCAACAGAGGCTGATGCTCATGTTGCTCCTAGCCTGCTTTCTAGGTATTCCTTGTCAGCAGCAACGCTGCCAGTGTATCTTCCCTAGCACGTACAATCTGTAAGTGCTCCTTTTTTCCCCTGCAAGCAGAATTTCTTTAACACCTGTGACCTCCACACTGTAGGCCCTGCTGACAGCTGAGTCCCCAGGGTTAGCTGCCAGAATGCCAAGGAGCCAAGAGCCCAGCTCTGAGATGTCCCAGCTGCATCACCTCCAAGCAGGCTGCCGGCAGAGAGCTGAGAGAAGCTCTGCAGGGGATAAAGCAGGTGCCACTTTCATCCTTTACAACACTCACAAAAACACGAAGGCATAGGAACAGTAGCAGCCCTTACCCAGATGTGAGCAAGAATGTTGATTTCAAACATTTTCTCAATTTGGTGGTCCTGGGTGGAGAGCAGGTCAGCAGCTGTAATCACACCAGCATTATTCACCAGAATGGAGACATCACCAATGTCCTTTTTCACCTTTTGGACAAAGGGAACGTGCAGCCCCATGACATTCATTATCACAGAAGTGCAAGGTTGTGAGCAACAATTAATTTAACTCTTACAATTAAATTAACTCTTACAATGTTTTTTTGTGTTTTTTTTTTTGTTTTTTTTTTTCAGAGAGGAGAAAATCATGTTCTTTCCCAGTCTGGTAGGAACTGTGCAGTATCCTGAAAGCTGATTTAGATCTGATGTTTTTCCCATATTTACTGCCAGTATTTATAGTCTCCTACACAGAAAATATGCTCTACACAGTCACAGGTGGCATAATCTCTGTGGTGAACCTCAGGTGCTGTTTTCCAGCCTTTCTCAAAACCCAAGCATGTTTGGCACATGAGCCTGCTTTCCTTACCTTCTCAGCAGTGCTGTAGATCTCCTCTCTTTTGCTGCAGTCCACCACAAAGGTGTGAACGGTGGCTCCCAGCCCTTCACACTCTGCTGCCGTCTCCTTGAGGCCATGCTGTGGGAGGAGGGAAAGAAGGATACATGTATGACATGAGTGCAGTAGCCTCAGTACAGCCTCCTTAGTTGTGTGTGCAACTGTACGTTGCCTGAGCTTTGTTGTTTGGGCACCATGACACCTTGGGGGAGGACTTTAAATTTAGGACCTGCACAGATCTGCTGCTAGAAATGGAACATAGAGACAATAACACCCTTGCCTGGGTAAAGCTCATTTAGCTGGACAGCGGGAAGTGGGCATCAGCTTGTAGCCTCCCTATTGCATGTAGAGGACTAAAGGGCAGCTGCAGGTGACAGCTTGGAGATACCACGAGTATATCCAGCATATGGCAGGAGTAACAGTCTGGCTGTGAGAAAAGAGGTATGCCACTCAATGTACAACCTGGAAAGACAGCTGACTAAGGTGTCCATGTTTTGTGTTAGACTGAAATGACAAGCCCATCTTTTACCATCAAAACAGATCAACAGTGCCATGCTCCTTCTGACCTTCCATCATCTCTTACACTGTCCAAAGCTCTGGGTTCCACTGCCTCTCTTGGCTGCCTAATTCATTGCTTGCTAACATGTATTCAGGCATTCCTCCCAGAATTACAGGTGAGTGTTGCAGCTACAAAGCTAAGGTCAGTACCTCTTCCCTTCCCACAGATGGTAGAACACAAAAGCACAGATCGTAGGGGTTGGAGGGGACTTCTGGAGTCCAAACTTGTGATAAAGCAGGTTCCCTACAGCAAGTCACACAGGTTAAGTGTCCAGGTGAGTCCTGAATATCTCCAGAGAAAGAGACCACAACCCCTCTGGGTAGCTGTTCCAGTGCTCTGTTCCTTTCACAGTAAAGAGGTTCTTCATTTGTTATTACGGAACTTTCTATGTTCCAGTTTCTGCCCACTGCCCTTTGTTCTACTGCTGCATGCCACTGAAAAAGAATCCACCCCCACCAACTTGACTCCCACGCTTTAGGTATTTATAAACAATCATCAGATTCCCTCTCAGCCTTCTTTTCTCCAGAATGAACAGCCTCAGGACTCTCAGCCTTTCCGCATAAGGAAAATGCTTCAGGCTCCTAATCATCTTTGTGGCCCTCTGCTGGATTCTCTAGGAGATCCCTTTCTTTTTTGAACAGGAGAGCTTAAAACTGGACAGAGTGTTCCAGATGTCTTTAATCTAAAAAAATGGAAGATTTAGGTTAGATGTTAGATAGAAATTTTTTACTCAGAAGGTGGTGAGGCACTGAAATAGATTGCCCAGAGAGGTTGTTGGGGTTGTTGGGGGGTTGGAGATTCATGATCCTTGAGGTCCCTTCCAACCCTGGCAATTCTGTGATTCTGTTGTGAATGTCCTATCTTTGGAGACATTCAAAGCCAGGTTGGGTTGGATCCTGCACAGGTTGAATTGGAACCTGCACAGCCTGGTTTGGTGGTTGGCAACCCTGCCAATGGCGGGGGGTTGGAACTAGATGATCTTTAAGGTCCCGTCCAACCTAAGCCTGTGATTTCACGTGGCCACACCAGGGAAGAATAAAAGGGGAAGAGAATCTCCCTCTTCGTGCTGGCCAGGCTCTTTGCAACGCACTTCTTGACCACGAGGGCACATTCCTGACTAATGGCCAACCACTGGTCAACAGCTGGTCAGCTGTCGGTCAACCAGTACACCACTGGTGTTCTTGGCCACCAACCTTCTCTGCGGAGCTCCTTTCCAGGAAGCCAGCCCCTAACCCGTACTGATGCACTCGATGGATGACACACGACGGACGACTTGCTGCTTGGCTTCAGCCCTTCCTGCATCCCAGGAGCAGTGCCATGCATGCCCGAGTCTGTGCTGGAGGTGAGCACACAAGTACACTACCCACCGTGGGTCAGCTGTACTCTGTATACATTACACTCCCCTCACCGCACGCATGGACGGCAGCCAGCTCCCCGCAGCCACCTGCAGCCACGAGCCCCGCTCCCCCCGCGCCGGCAGGACCTCCCCGTCGACCCCATCCCGTTGTTACCGCCTCGATGTCCCACAGCACCAGGCGGCTCTGGCGCCGGGCGAACTCGCGGGCCGTGGCCCTGCCCAGACCGCGGGCAGCGCCCGTCACCAGCACCAGCTCCCCGCGGACGGTCTTCCTCTTGGCGGGCAGCAGCAGCTTCACCAGCGCCTCCGCGTAGGCGTACAGCAGCGTGCCCAGGAACACCAGCAGCCCCAGCGCGGGGCTCATCCTCCCGCCACACGGCAGCCCGCAGCGCTCCTTCGGCAACTCCCAGCACCGCCGCAAGGTGGCGCACACACCGCCCGCCGTGGCCAATCGGAGAGAATTGCGGGGCGGGAGAAGGCGTGTCCGGCGGAGAGGAGAACACCAATAGGCGGGAGGCGGCGCTGATTGGCCACGCTCCGCCCAATGAGAGCGCAGGTTGTAAGGGGGTGGTGGCGGTGGCGGCGGTGAGTGGTGGTTGTTGGGGTCGTGTCAGGGCGGTTCCGGCCTGGGGTCGCTCCGGCGGCAAGGGCCGAGGGTCTCACCGCCAGTTGTGGGGTGATGTTGGCCTTCGCCACTGTGCTGCGTGCAGTGTCGGTCCCCGGCCTCGCTCGGGCTGTCGCCGTGTTGTCCGTTGCGGTTGTGCTGTCCCCGCCCGCCCGGTGCGCGCTGCGCCGCCGCCCGCCCCTCAGGTACGGCGGCACCGGGGCTGTGTGAGGGACAGTGGGCCGCTGCCGGCATCGGCACTGGGGTGTGGGCTTGTGTGGGACCGGGCGGAGTTCCTCATCTCAAAAAATCCTAAAGTTTTTCACCAAGAGCTCTTAAAAATCAGTGCTTCTGTAGGTTATGGCCTCTTGCTGTGCTTAGAGCCCCTTATTTGGGGGCAGTCATTTTTTTGGAGCAGTTAAAAAAAGCCGCAGCAGTTTGTGTATTGAGATAAATCCGTGTGGAGTTTCAAAGAGCTGCACGTCAAGCACCATAATCTAAACTGCTGTTCTGTGGTGTAATTGTCTGCGATTTTGGCTCCAGAAAATCCATGTCAGGGTAAGATTGCTCGTGGTCTTGAGGTTTTCCCTTGCGAGTTATTTGGATGTTCATTGCCCTCCTGGGAGTAGAAGAGAGGTGTGTGTTACTCTGCACTGTATCACATCGAGTGTCATGCCACTGCTCAGAGCAACACGTGGAGTTACATGGAACTGTGGGAGTTGGGAGAGGCCTTTGAGGATCCTCCTGTCCAAGCCTGCTGGTGTTTGGAAATTTTGTATTTACTTTCACTTTTTCTGTCAGTTGATGTGAAAGCTGGTCTCTTGTAAAGCTGAGCTGTTTGTTAGTGTGTTGCCCATGTGGAGAGTGGCTTCCAGCTGCACTCCATGATAAACACCTCCCAGCCAATCCTTTCAAATGGTCAGTACCTGATCAGAGTGCTGCATAGCCCAGAAGGGTGCTTGCAGTTCTCAGCTTCTTACTCATATGTGTTTGCATGATTCCTGAAAGAAGCGATAACATATTGCTGTTCTCTAGAAAGCTCCAGTCTGTTCTGCATGGTGTAGTCTAATATGCAGATGAGACATTTAGTAGCATGGTTAATACTTAATGAATAAGTATTCTGTGATTCTAGGAATAAGGTGTTACTTTCATTTTTTTCTTTCAGTAACTTCTCTGCAGCTCACTGGTCCCACCTCCATCCTGCTAACATGTTTGACAGTTGTAACATTAAGAATTTCTACCACAACAAAGCTCTCACCTCCCCATATCCCAGATCGCATGTTGAGCGTACCCATGTTCCTGCAGATAAAGTGGACTGGTCGACTGAATGGAAGGACTACCAACCCGTGGAGTACACTGCAGTGTCTATTTTGTCTGGACCTCAGTGGGCAGATCCGCAGGTCAGGTGAGTGGAAGGGAGACAGGTAGAAATTCTAGTGTCCGTGCTCATTTTTGACATGAGAGAATAGCATTGTGGCCTTAGGAACTTGGGAGAAGATTGCTGTTGAGTACTTCCTTGTTTGTTCTTGGATTGTGTGCAAGATGAGAAGAACTCGAGCAGAATTGGAAGCCTGAAGTAGAGCGCTCTGACTCAGATGCCTGATGGTAGCATTATGACTGTATTGCTTTGTACTGGATCTGTGAATACATTCTACTCCCAAAGAACAGATTGTGCTGCTTTGCTAGGAGGTTAGATGCATGCCTTAATCTACTGTCAGGTAGTCTTTTAGTAGCTGTTGATAGCACTTGAAAATGCAGACTCAGTTTTTAATGTAAATTCCTGAATTGTTTGTGTGGAAAAAATCCAGTCAGCAGATTGATTCTTGTGACAGTTTGAGAGGAATTGCTTTGGAGAGCAATAAATATGCTTCTGTAGACACCTGCCTCCCTACCTGCACGCTGTTTCATTTCTAAAGATGCACAAAGAGTGTAGGCATTAAACACTTCTTGAAAGTCGGTGATCGCGCCTAGCAACTGTGATAAAGCATACCTAATAAAATATCTGCACGCTGCACTTAAATTAGAAAAGCATTTGTTAGCTTCATTGCTGGATAACGTCTTATGCTCCCTAATATGAACAAAAACAGCTTTGAAATACTGCCTAAATGAAAAGGAGGAAATGTTGAGTGCTTTAGAGCATCATGCTTATCTGCAGATTTAAACAAACTGTCATCAGCAATTGCTCAAATTTTATACCCCCTACAGAAAAGGGAGGGCCTGCATTCTAAGTTTTGGTAAAAACTGCTTGTTAGCCAATTGGGTGTTACAGATTGCATGGCTGGCCTTCAACCAGAGGGATGTGAAGGGCTCTATAACTTCTAATTACTCTTTCCCACAGTGATAAAAGTTTCTCTCCCAAATTTAATGAGAGAGATGGAGAAGTGGAGAGGACAAGTTGGAATGGCTTGTATGTGGTTGAAAACGGGAGGCCCCGGTGAGTGATTTTTCTTTGTGTATGTGTTTCAATGATTTAGTTGTAGAGCTTTTAAACATCTGTATCAGTTCTAATAGATGGTACCTGCTTGAACAAAATGAGGGTAGTCTTTCGTAGAGACAGAAAAGAATGATACCTCAGTGTGAGCGTACTGTTCCTGGAAGAAAGTTGTGCAGAGAGGCATGAAAAGCTTGGTCTGGACTTGTCCCAGCAGTGGGTTGTCTGGAGATGGAAGATCAGGGAAATGACAAAGCCATTTTGTTCTCCTTTACTTATACTGTTGGTTACAGAAAGATGATCATAGAATGGCCTGGGTTGAAAAGGGCCACAGTGATCACTTAGTTTCAACCCCCCTGCTACAGGCAGGGTCGCCAACCATTAGACCAGGCTGCCCAGAGCTACATCCAGCCTGAATACATCTGATGATGACAGAGAAAACTGTGTTTTCTTTTATTCTTTAAAGCTAATGCTGACATTGGGTGCACGTTGCTTTCCTTTACTTTCTGTAATTCAAGCTTCATTAAAGCTTCTTACTGGAACTCTGCATGGGCAAATAGTGCTGTTAAATGCTCTGTGCCACTTATTTCAGAAACCCAGCAGGAAGGACAGGTCTCACAGGGAGAGGGTTGCTGGGGCGATGGGGACCAAACCATGCTGCTGATCCTGTTGTGACCAGGTAAGGGATGGGTGACTGAAAGGTGATGTATAGTACAGCAGAAAAATAGTGACTGACTCAGTTGCAAAATCAGTGGTGTGCCTGTTTTTGCACTGTAGGAAATACTGGGTTGGCCTAGTATATAAGAAGAGGACATAAGGTTTGGATGATCTGTTGTTGGTTTGTTTGTCTGTGTTTTGTCAATGCCTGCTCTGCTTTGGTGTTTCTGCCTCCAGAGTCTGTGACTACATGTGGAGTCACACACAAAGGTTTTAGGGGAGATGGTGTAGATAACAAAGATGCAAGTTTGGAAAGGTACAACTATAATGAAAGACACGCTACTGCATTTTAGTTCTTGCCATTATCAGAACACTATTGAAGCTACTCATTAATTTCCGTGAAAGTAATGCAAATCTTGGTTCTATTTTTCCTCTTCAATTAGATTGCTTCTTGCTTTAGTGCCTACAGTTCTTCTAAATTCTTTACTGGATACAGTGCAGTGGATGCTTTTGGCCTTCTGTTGGTGCCAGGTAGATGATTTGGAAGTGTTGCAGCCAAAATTTACTCTTGTAGCAGAAGTCATTATTATCCTCATCTCATGTGTAGACAAAAATATAGTTAGAGGTGAAAGCTTCATAATGAGAGTTTCAGTAGATATAGATGTTCTGGACCTAGCAGTAAAACTCATGGATGTGATCTTCCCAGGCAGCTGTTGTCTGGTTTTGCCCAGAGACTGTACTTTACCTAATAGACTGCTGTGTCGGGGCCCCACTGTTATGTTTTCCTCCTACAAAAAAGCAGAAAATAATGTTCTTCTTTGTCATTTTCTGCAGGTGGAAGAGGGATAGAAGTGGCAATAAAATAGCTCACCCAGTTACTGGCAAAAACATCTTGCAGTTTGTAGCTATCAAGAGGAGAGACTGTGGGGAATGGGCCATCCCTGGGGTAAGATCAGAGCTCTGAAGTGGAAGATTTCTCCCCTTTGGCAAAGTCAAGAGCAGATAACTGATATGTATGTGATAAAACTATGCTTTGTAAGAATGACCTCATTTTGTAGAGGGAAGGAGAAATGTATTACAAATATTTTTTTTCTCAGGCATCTCTTGGGATGCTTCTTACTTTTTCCACAATACAAGGCAATATATATATACTTAATTCTGAGAGTGTTTTTGCTTAACGTAGATATAATTTAATCTGCTCCAGTTTTTGGAGGATAGGTATGCTTGCTCTTTATCCACAAGTACAGACTTCCTCTCATATCCAGAGCGTGATGCAGGTAGCTGTAATATCCTACACACCAGTCAAAGAATACTATGCCAAGTGAGGTGCAAGGGTGCTCATATTTCTTTCCCTGTCAGGGGATGGTGGATCCAGGGGAGAAGATTGGCGCTACTCTGAAGCGGGAATTTGGGGAAGAGGCCTTGAACTCCTTACAGAAATCACCTGAAGAAAAAGCACAATTGGAAAAGCAACTCCAGAGACTGTTCAGCCAGGAGCACTTTGTGGTAAGCTGTGTGTCTTTGTGGTAGCCTCTGAGCTCTGTAGGTAAACTGCAGCTATTGAGGAACTGAGGAAGTGTGGCTCTTATTAAAAAGCTGTGATACTCAATTTCTTGTCATGTAAGATTGTAAGGGTGATCTGAGGAAAATGCTTTTTAATGATTCCACCTTTATGCTATTACATTTCTTTTGGTTGTTTGCTGCATTAGGTTTACAGAGGATATGTGGAT